GAGATAAGATATAATGAAAATTAGATTGTGAAAATTTGAAAATATAACGCTGATTTTTGTTGTTTGACTTCCAATTTAATGTTTGTTCGGCTTGTTATTGTATCTTAATTAAACAAAGCAATGTTGTTACTTATTAGCTACAATATAATTTATTCAATATGGTATTTTTTTGTAAAGAAAGAGTGTTGCTGTACATTTGGTAAAGTATAAATAAGCATTTGCATTTAATAATTATAAAAGTTATTAATTATTTAATAATTAATCATAAGAATATGAATAATTAAATATTTTTTCGGAGATATATTTTCCGGCGATATTTTTTTTCTAGGGATTCCAGCATATATTTTTGGCATTATCTCTAAATATGTTTTTTGAAAGCTTTATTATTGACAAATTCCAACCAAAGGAATACCTTACTACAACAACAACAATTTAGGCTTTGCCCCGTGAACTAAATCACACTAGTACTTCCTTTATGTTCACCTCCACTATACCCTCCAGAGGAGCAGCACCAAATCACCAAGCACCGGCGTCTAATGCTCTACCAGTCGCAGTTGGCCGTTAATGCTACTTTTGCAAGCCATAAAACATAGCATTTATTAAGTACAACAAAAAACTTCGACCCAAGGAAATACCTTACTAGGGAGGATATTCAAACAAAAATTTTTATTAGAATAAATATTTTCGTTATTTTAATACTACTAATAATATACAAACAGTTTAAGTTACTAAGTTAAGATTGCTGGATGGTAGTTTGTTGTTGGCAACCGAACAGGTTAGCTGCTTGTGGTCTTTATGATTTTCCCGATGCGTAACGTGAATTCAAGCCAATTTTATTTAGAAAATTACCCACGAAGGTGTTCTCTTAAAGCAGATAACCCATGACTTCTTAAAAACTGTAAAATATAATCTGTGGATATTTTTCGTTATACGATAACACGAAGAAAATGATTTCCTATACAAAAACATATGATCAGCGCTGTTATTGCCCGCCGTTTAATTAAATGCATCCATCTTATTCCTTACAATTAATTTTCCTTTTTCAAAGAAAGTTTGATTTCAGTAAAATGTACTATTTACAATGTGTCATTTTATTTTGCTCGTTTTTTATGCAAATATTCAAATTCAGATAGATATTGCGTAAGTTCAGAAAGCCAACTAGTCTCCAAGCGGTAAGATAGCTGAGCACCGGTAAATTCTAGCGGCTGCATGGGAGGTTTAAGGGTTTTTCACAAGTACAATTGTGAATTAACAGTTTGTTTCCCACAAAAAAAAATCTACCATGAAGACTTCCTTTCCCTTAGACAAATAGGTCCTGTGTGCTTTATCATAATCCAAAATCTTAAGCGTAAAAATCTTTTATCATAGCCGATGATGACGATAAAATATTTTCTATCTGATGTGTCAAGTTAGCATAATTGTATATTTCTAACGAAAATTGTTTGGCTCATGTTACCCTATAATGAAAAAAAGATTCAAATCGGTTTTTAGCTTAAACAGTATTTTCATTATTAATTATATCACGAATTTTATCAATAGTATTCTTAGTATTAATTGCAGGCATGTATTCAAGAATATAATATACACAAAGCTGTGTCTAATGATTACGGCTAATTTTTATATAAAATTTTATAGTATAAAAATTTAGGTTCATAGGTCAGCCATATTTGAAAGAGTACTTGTGTATTATAAGAAAAGAGAGAGAGAAATTTAAGAATCAAAAAATTTACCACGAAGTAATATAAAAATGCAATACAACACAAAAGAGTACAATACTATTTCATGTTTTGTGGATATACTTGAAGACAGAAACATGTTTCAGCTGTATTCGTTCATCGGAGAAAAACTTTTCATATGAAGCTATTTTTTTCAAATCTTTCACTATACAAGTAATACAAAAGCAGTATAGGAATTTCTTTTCTTAATACCCAACCGAAGAGCTGAGGGGACGTACAATGATTAACATACAATGGGTGCCTTGAATTATTTTGCTTTACATGCAGTTTCCTTATATATGTAAAACAAAATAAACTTTCACCCATTCCAAGATTTCAAGAACTCACAGAGAGAGAGAGAGAGAAATATCTATAACAAATTTTATTGCTGTCTGACTGATTGCTTCGGGAACAATAAGTCTTCCAAGCTTTCAAGCTTCAAGCTATTCAAATACGAACGCTTCTCAGCAAAGCCATTTGGACCGCATCTGCTTTGTTAAAGAAAACCTTTTGGGGGTAAAATCATCCACTTCATCGGGTTTTTCAAACAAAGCAGTCAGTGGTCCTGTTACTACCTGCTGACCTAGAGAAATTTCTCAGAAACTTTTGTTCGAAAAAAAACGAGTTTTATATTTTTAAGAATTTCCATTCTGACAGCAAGATTTTGTTTTGTTATTTTTCATATATAGATGAAAAGAAACTAATTTGTTTTTAATAAAGAAGAAAAAAATTAATAAGCTTATTTAAATTTTTTACACAGCACCGAGTAAGGAGACGAAATTTAATTTTCTTTATAAATATTTTTCTCAGACAATACTTTAGTGTTTTTCAAATTACGAGAATAGCGCGTTAGTGCATGCATTTTCAAATCAGATTTATTTAATTAATATATATGGATATGCCGAACAAGCACACTTTCGCACACATACACTGTATATTAGTACATACATAAAAATGAAATAAAATTTGAAAACAAGCAATTTAAAAAAACTACTGTATTGAAAAATTTTATTTTTTATATAAATTTTTTTTTGTTTTTTTACATGCATCTGTTATTTTTGGATTTTTTGAGTATACTATCAATGAATGCCCATGGACGACTTTCTAAGTAAAACGTACTCATGTTCATGTTACACATAGGGAAAATCACAAAACCATTGCAACCAGTTCGTTTGTTTGGGTTCGAATATGAGTCGAAATAGCGATAATCAGATATCTTAGCCAGGAGGCCATTGATTGGGTTTGACAGATTTGGAAACCTAATAAATAGTATTTAATAAATATAATATTATTAAACGAATCGGATTTATATAAACCAAATAAAATTCTTATATCGAACACAACTAAAACTCGATATAACTTACACTGATAAACTGATGTGTAATAACACTGATAAATTAAAATACTAAACGGAATATACATTAATTCTACATAGATAATTTTTTGTAATGTATTTCGCTGGGAATGTCTGGCCGCAAAATCCTGATTATATATATACCCTTATTTTAAGGTTATCACATATCTGATGGTTTGACTTTTACCTCAAAACACAAAGAATCCACAAAATTCAGTAAAATTAATAACTTTATTTCCCTGTTGAAAATTCTCTGAATCTTTTCAAATATAAAAGCACACGCGCAAAACAGTTTGCTTTAAATAAATATATGCAGCAACGAAAAGATGCGTTTTTGACAGCAACTCGTTTCGAAAATAAAATTTTGATGAAATGAATTGAATGAATCGTGTAAGAGTCTTAAGCATTTTTAAAGGAAACTCCAAAAACGTTTAAACACGTCTTAAGCAGTTAAAGGGTTAATACAACAATAAGTAAAACATAAAAATAAAGTTATTGGTTAAAAGGTGGTTTCCTCTATTATTACAGTTTCTGTATTTTATAATCAATTTTAAAGATATGGTTAACACCCACTGCAAAAAAAAACATGTGGACTTAATATCATTTCCATGTAGCACATACCATATTCACTCATGTATATTTCCTCATGACTTTTTGGCACAAGGAACTAGTTTTTTTTTTTTAATATTCACATAATTTTACTTTTCCTGAAGGCACTGAAAACATAAACACTCCTAAATTTTAATATCGCTGAGTACAAAATGTTATTGAATTTCGGCTTTTTAAAAAAATTTTTTATTAGCATATCCTAAATGTCCCTCATATCATAACATCACATCCTAAATGTTTCTATGTTTTGCAGACCACAATTTGTTTTCATTCATCATTTACACATTAAAACCATGCGGGCAAAATAAATGTTGGGTATATCTGGATAGAAATGTGTCAAAATGGATTTGTTCATTAGTAGCTGTTTTCATCTTACTAAAAGAGACAAATCCCAGCAAACTACCTACGAAGGGCATGCTGAACCTTCCATTTCCACTCACTGACAGCCCACCAGCGGCCGAGCGGTAAAGTCGCTGAACACTGGTAGTTCGGTCTGAGGTTCGAATCCCGCAAACGGGCTGGCGCATGCGTTTCGTAGTTTTCCCCATGTGTAACGTGTATACGAGCCAGTTTCCCTTCGAAAGTCCTCCAAGAAGGCATCCCTCCCCTTAGGTAGTCCTCGAGGCTTTGCCATAATCACACACACACACACACCACTCACTGACAATGGTAACATGTTAAAAGTAATGGAGTGTTCACACGAGGACTTTGCGAGGCATAAGTAACATTAACTGATCTATGCAGAATTACACATTACTCACTATTATTGACAGTCCACATGATAAACTCCTAAACAGCAACATTTTCCTAGTGTAAATACAATTTTGTTCAAATAATTTTCTTTTGAAGGTAACAAATGCTTAAAACCTTTTTGATACAATGCATAAACACACAAATTATGAGTTACACAGCATTAAATTATCACATGCTTAAAGAACTATACGATTCAAAGCAATATGAACGAATGAATAATTCTTTTTCATATAGTTAATAATAAATTACAAAGACACAGACTATATTTAAACCTTTTATGACTATATGACACTATTCTGAAGAAATAAATTATCAGAATGAAGAAAAAAATCGTGAGGTACACGAAAACAATAAAACAGAGGTAAGTTGTATGTAAAATAACAACACAGTATAAACACTTAATAGTATAAATTGTTGGCAAACATTTACACCATTTTATTCTAATACACAACAACACGTCTATAAAATCATTTGAATTGTCCAAACAATTAATTTGTAGTGAAACTAATTTATTTTTCATACAATACATTCACCAAATTATTTAATTTAAAATAAAATAAAATCCTTACTATTTTATACGTAATTTCCTTTGGGATATTTCCTCTTATAAAAAACTGTACTTGATTTCGAAATCTTCATACTTAAATTTGGAAACTTTCATTTACTCAAATGATTAATAATAAGAGTTACAAAATATCACAACCAAGAAGAAAAAAAAATTAAACAAATCTATGCATGTCATATGACGAACGATTACGATAAAGGGAAACTAATATTGTCATTTCCTCTGCAGAATACTTCAGCACTAAGTTAAATAGATTTTGTAATATCTATTTGTTGTTTATCAAAGCTGTTATGATAATTATTAATATTTTTTAAAAATTTAAATCATTTTAAAATTGTTAAGCTCGAATCTATTAATGTTCTTAAAGCAGTCTGATAAACATACAGATGCCAAACGTCATTCATTTCAAAATAATCTTGTGTGATAAACAACCCTTGGGAGATATTTTAGCAAATACAAAAAAAAAAAAAAAAAAAAAAAAGCAACAGATGATCTGATCAGCGCAAAAAAATACATATAATTTTTAAATGAATCTGCAGAATAGTAAGCTTAAAGCAGTTATTTAGTTCTTGGCAGATAGAAAAAACAGGAATAAAATCAATGAGAATAGTAGAAAAAGTGTTTTTTCTTTTTTCTTAATCGTTCGTTAATCGATATGCGATACAATTCATTATGATAACATTTGGCAAGTAGTTTAAATGTAGTGTTTGTGTTACATTCATTGTTTTTGTAAAATATGTAACATTAGTCATAGGACTATATTTTTGTTTCGAGCTTCATGTTGCGCCTGATCAATACACTCCCTCTCAGGTCACAAATTGACCGAAATATTCGTACCGTGCTTGTTCGTAATTAATATAGAAAGTTACAATACTGTTTATTTTGTTTTAAAGTTGGTTATTGATTTTCTATAAAATACAATAAGGAAGGAGGAAAATAATGGCATTTAAGATCAAACAAGAAAAAACGGGTAAGTTTGGAATACTTTTTTTGAGTGTTGTTGTCATACTTTTGTATCATGTATTCGAATATATTAATTGAATGTTGCAGTGTCTTAGTTTTTCACGTTTCATGCAGTTTGTATTTGAAATAAAAAGAAATTTTTACGAAAGTATGACTTCGTATATTAATTTTTTTTAATGTATTTATTCTTTTAGGAAAATGGAGAAAAGTGAATGTAAACGTAGACTTACTCCTTTTTTATGTAATCAGATATAAAGTGTAACTGCCATTTGATGTAAAACTGGATAAAATTTAGCTCTTTGATGCCAACACAAGACTTAATTTTAACTGAAGTTCAAATTGGCTTCCACACATATACAATGGCTTACATTTGTTTTTTGACACATGTGTTTTTCAGTTTTATTTGCAAATATCAGTTATTAGTTACAAAATAACATTATTTTTCTTAGTAGGACTTTCTGTGAGGCATCGCATTTCCTTATTCTTTTCTCCATGTCACTCCATACATGTTCTATAGAAACAGGAGTCTGGATAATAAGGAGAAATTTAATAACTTCAGAACAGTTGTATAGTAACTACTTGCAAATATTTAGAGCTCAAGTTTAGGATCATTCCTGATAGAATTCAAGTATATTTTACATTCCAAATTTTCTTGCTAATGCCTTCAAAATATATTTAAACATATATTTAAATATAAATATTCTTTTTACCAATCAATATTACATTCGATAAACACTAAATTTCTTATTTTAAAGGCAGAAAAACATCCTCTAGCCATTATGTTTCTACCCTCATGTCTAACAGTAGGCAGTAGTTTTTTAGAATTTCATTCTTAGTTCAGCTTCTGTCACATATTGATTCGTGTACCAGGCCCAGATACCAGACCTTTGACTTCACTTCAAATATAACATTGTTCAAATATGATAAAACTTTGCTTACTATAGATTTTGGCAGGGTCATTCCTAGGCCATTGGCAGCTTGCATACTTTCCCAAGATTGCTGCCCCCAAATTTATAAAAAAGTGCTCAGTTATTAATAAAATTTTTATTTCACTCACTAAGTACTTGCATATAACAAATTGTATAAAAAGTACAATACTCTTCCATTTCGCTGACGCAAATCTCACCAAGCAGAGTTTGTTGGCGACAGCATACATTATACACATTAAAAATTTTACTTCTAAGTTTTTTATTTTGAAATTATCATAAACATATTAATATGATTTAAAATTTTGTAAAAAGCCAATAAATAAAGACAATAAATTTGTAAAAAGACATTAATTTAAGAATTTACTATGCTTTCATGGTTCAACATCCTGATTCGCCGGTTTGTATCATGTGACCCAAAGTGATCTCATCTCACGTAAACTACGCTACAAAAGTTTAATTTTCTCAGTAATTATCTACATTAATTGCAAGTTAAATCTTATTTTGGAATACTAGTTTAAATGCAAGAATTATTTCAATTTGTACAAATAGCTTACTCAGAAATTATGTAAAACCGCACTGCTTTACTTCGCTAGTGCATTCTCATTAAAATTGATGAATTTAACCCTTGATTTTGCCTTTCCTATATTTTCGCCTTCGGGTGAGCGGTGCGATTGCATTCTAATTGACTTAATTACCGAGAATGGTCTTAGGGTATAAAATTTAACTGTCTGGTAAAAATTCTATGTAATTGTATGCCAGTATTGAAAGAAACAATCAATCTGATAAGAAATGGCTGTGACTTGTTTTGAAAATGAAGCGTAAATTTTACCAGCGAAGATATTCCGTTTGGCATCAGTTGTACCATTATTGGCGACTTTATCGTTTGTGCCGGCAAAACGTAAAAGTACCAAAAGTACTTACATATGACAAGTATTTACAATGAATTAAAAATATTTAGGCATGATATCGAAAGAGTTTGGCCGCCCCTGATTTTGGCTGCCCGCATACTTTTACGCTCTGCTACCCCGCTAGGAATGGCATTGGATTTTGGTTACTTCCTTATTATAGTGGCTCTCGAGATTGAATTGCTAATAAACGCCACTTGATACATCGCCACATGTGGCGATGTATCAAGTGTAACAAGTGGCGAAAGGTACATCACCACTTGTTCTTATAATTGCGTCCTGTTTCATTTTTGCATTCTACATGGGAATCATCAAATATAGAAATAATGCTGGCTTCTCAGGAAAATGTGATTGGCAAGTAGGTAAGTTTTCAAAACACTCACATGTAAAATATAGTTGTCTTCTTGGTATGTCTCGCATTACTTACACTGTCCATGCTTTGAAATTTTCAAAACAAGTCACAGCCATTTCATATCAGATCAGTTGATTGTTTCTTTCACAGTACAATTACATCAAATTTTTACCAGATTGTTCAATTTTATGCCCTAAGGCCATACCCGAAGCCGAAAATATAGTAAAGGTCAAGGGTTAAATTCATCAATTCTAATGAGAATGCACTAGCGAAGTAAAGCACTGCGGTTTTACATAATTTCTGAGTAAGCTATTCGCACAAACAGACATAATTCTTCCATTTAAACTTGTATTCTAAATTAAGATTTAACTTGAAATTAATGTAGATAGTTACTGAGATTTTTGTATTGTAATTTACTTGATGAGATCACTTGGGGTCATGTAATACGAACCAGCGAATCAGGATGTTGAACCATGAAAGCCTAGTAAATTCTTAAATTAATGTCTTTTTACAAATTTATTGGCTTTCTATAAATTTTAAACAATATTAAAAAGTTTATGCCTTCGAAATAAAAAATTCTTATAACTAACATGTGTTAAAATTTTTTATGTGTATACTATATGTTGTCGGCAATAAAATCTGCTTGGCGAGATTTGCGCCGGCGAAACGGAAAAGTACCGAAATTTGTAACATAATTTTTTGCCTAAATAGCAAATAGGAATGCATATAAGTTCCTGACAATTATGCTCATTATACTTCGACATGAAGCTAAAGAATACTCATTAATTGTGCTCTTTAGGCTTAAATTATTTAAAACTGTATGGTATCAAAATGAAAACGTGAATGTGAGTTTGTTTTTTTTTTCGCTTGTTCAGCACCCGAGCTAGAAAGTGCAAGGGCAAAGCTAGAAGAAGCATTACAGTACATTATGGAAAAGACAGATGAAAGGTAATTCAAATTTTAATAGTTTTTATAGTTTATTATAATCAAGATATAAAGTACATTAAATTTTGAATTTTTCCCCCTTTTCTTTGAAGCCCTTCAACTTCTGAAGATGAATGCAATAAAGGTTTGACAGAAATAATTATTAAGAGGTAATATTTCAATAATTTTTATACTTTTATTTTCTCATTCGAAACAACGAACCATAGATGCTCATTTTCTCTTATTATTTGGAAAAGTAACCTGTAAAATTTGAATGATTTATAAATGTAAAGTATAGAAAATTTTTTTATTTTACTAGTGAATTTATATATATATATCAGTGTTTAAATTGCACCGGAGCTCGGCTCCGGTACTTTTCAATTTTTAAGATAAATTACAATTTTAGTCGGAGCGAACCGGAGCCCTAAATAAGATGAGCTCCGGTACTTCTTTTTATAAAACTGAACCACAATTTCAAGGGAAAAAAGTTTTTTAATTCCTAACATTTTAGTTTAACAATAAGCAGACCTTCCAATACTCTATTTCCGTAGAAATACGAACTCATGAGAACATGAGACGTTCAGTCTCCTCACTCACACGCAGAAACTTTCCCTTTAAGAAGGGCAATAAATTTAGGGGAGTGTGTTTAGGAATGCGTAAATTTCTCGCCATGCTATCGTATTTAGTGTATTGGTATCGATGGTTAGTTATCCTCACAGGAAGGAAAATTTGTGTTCTTTAATGTGCGTTAAATACAGCGAGTACAATAATGGTGAAATGATGAGATAAACTGCTCAAGCACGTCCTGTACATCGTCTTCCCACAGTATCCACTAATGTAAATAAATAGGGGGTAGCGAAAAGTATAACCAGCAACTTTACATTCATCCTTAGGAGGCAGATTCAGGACTCATTTTGCCTCTGACACACATCCGCTTGATGGCTATAATTATAACAGCAGAGAGCTGTGGTCAAAGAAAACGTTCTCTCTCACCAAGATTCCCCTCATTTTTTATTTCTACCCACTCATACCCTCATTCTGTTTCACCCTGTTATAGCATTACTTTAATTTTCATCAGCTATACTTTAAGTATATTTAATTTTTGTGATAATTCTCCCCTACGATCAGAGTTTAATTTGGGCCGGAGCTCACCTGATCCCGGCTCCTATGCTTCTTAGTTTTGGTAATAAATCATAATTCTAGCCTTAGCACACCGGAGCCCTAAATAAGAAGGTTACGGCACTTCATTTATGTAACTGAATAACAAAAGCAGTAGAAATTGTACCTCGAAAATTTTATTTTTAGCAATAAAATTATATTAAAAATCGCTTATTAAATTTTTAATTTTATCTCTTACATTTAATTTAATTTTAATTATTTCAATAATAATAATTAATTAATTATCTAATATTATCAATTAAATTAGAATTAATTAATTTGATAATAATCAACTGTTTAATTTTAAAATTATTAATGAGTTTAATAGTCATTTGATTTATTTATTTACTCTTGTTACTCTTTGCTGACGGTCTTCCATAGGGCTATGGTACTTCTAATTTTAGAAATTAAGCCCTGATATATATATGTATAGAAAGAGAATTATATTTTTATTTTTAAATTTAAACAAACACGTATAAAAGTAAAAAAGCAAATTTAAAGCCAAAATTAAAAAAGACTTCATTAGTATTTTCCTTTTAGAACTTTAATTCTTAAATGCTAATTTCTAAGGGCACCACTTTATTGGTATTTCTTTTTGGACATTCTTCACTTTTTACTTTGGTTTTGACTTTTACCCTTGCCTGCATGAATTACGAAACACGAATTGAATGATTGGAGAGTTAGGTTTGGAGGCAACTTCCCCTTGATAAGTCTGTCTCCTGTCTGCTCAACAGTCATTCACTTATGCATTTTTAAAAAAATTGTTTGGATTAATTTTAATTTGCTAAATTAGTGAATTTATTTTCATAGATTGATTTAGCACTTGCTTTGCTTATGCTTCTGAATTTAAATGATATTGTAGATTAGTTCGAGAATTAAATCTTTTATATGTTTGCACATTTTTAAAATATTTTTTTTAAATTATTTTTGCTTTAAATTTGCTTTTTTAATTTTGTTTTTAATTTTGGCTTTAAATTTGCTTTTTTACTTTTATACGTGTTAGTTAAAATTTAAATTTAAATTTGTTTAAATTTAAATTCCATTCCTTGCAGCAATGGTGCAAAGAATTATTTAATTAAATTTGTTTTTAATTTAAATTTATTTAATTAAATTCAATTTATTCTTATGAAAGAGAGTTATATATATGTATGTATATTTAAATAAAATAAATTGTAACAAGTGAGCATAAAATAAGCTTTGAAAACTAAAACCTAATGCAGCTAAGATTAAATAAATTTAATTTATTAAGCCTGAGTTATTTGTGGAAAGAACTTATTATGAAAATGCTTTTATAAATCAAGTTAATGTCAAAATATACTGCAAAAAGCACAAGCTAAAATTGAATTGATTAATAATTAAGTAATTAGTCATTGATGATTTAATGAAATAAGGCTGATTATATATATACAGGGTGTTTCAGCAAATCGGTTACAAACTTTCAGGAAAGATAGACTACACCTAGACTATGGAAAATCACATAGTAGTGCGTTGTCGAAAAGTTTTTCCTGGCATGGTAGTGACAACACAAAACTCAAGAAAGGAAAAACATGAACCAAGGAAACGTGTTTATTATGCTTAATACAGCAGAAATCAAGAAATAAGAATAAAAGTAGTCACAATCATCATCAAAGAAGGTGTTTGAAATTATGACCCCGGACCTCATATCTTTGGCACATGGAAGATCTGATATTTTCTGGAAAACATCACACATGTCCTGGACAGTAGCTGTCATGATGAATACAAGTTCCTCAGTACTTGAAATTGGGCTTTCATATGCCAGTATCTTGACATAGTCTCAGAGGAAGTAGTCAGTGCAAGTGAGGTCTAGCCATCTTGCTAGCCAGTGCACCGGACCACCTCTGCACCATCATAGTAGTTCTGTGCAAAGTCTACTTCTTAACCTCTTTTCCATTTTATTTAAACAAACTTCTTACTTAACAATTCCAAAAACATCAAGCAAATTTGACTGTAATATAACTTTAAAGAAAGACAGTTACATAATTCACTTGAAGATTCACTCAAATATTAAACATATTATTGGCTTCCAATCATTTAATACAACTCATTATGAGAAAGCAGGAAGTGGGATAAAGTTAAGGAGTCAAACAACATAAATGGTGTTGGGGGCATTAGTTACAAATATTTACGTTGCTCTCATATGCAATTTGGTCTGTGACCGTTACATTAGAATTCACGGTTAAAGTAGATTGAAGGGTGCCCCTTGTATTATCATGAAGTTGTTAATTATGAAGTTGTTGTTTCACTTATTGCCAAGTTGTTTCATTTATGGTAATCTGAGTAGTTGAATGTTATGGAAATCCTATTATGACATAATCGGTTGTGTGATTGCAGTAAATTTTGAATGATGGGAAAAGATTTGTAAGGGCTTGTGGTGTGTGTTGATTAGGAAGTACATTGCTTGTTTTCTGGTTTATATGGTAGAATGTAGTAAGATTAATTTGAAGTTTCTGTAAGATTTTTAACAAAAAGGGAAAATAGCATTAATTGACTGGTGCATAAATGAAGGTTTACTTAGTAGCCATTAAAACTGTCCTGTTTATAGGAAGGAAATGTGTATGGTCGAACGTAAACATCGTTCAGATGGCTTTGAATGGGTCTGGGGTTTGTCGTAAGAAAGGTTCATGCAAGAAATGCCATCGACAGTCCGGCACTATGGAGGATATTTTTTGGTCTTATTTTTGTGAATTTATGTGGTGATGCCAATATACAGATTCTAGTTCAGATAATTTTAGGAATTTTTTGGATGCTGTTAAGGAATTTTATGTCCACAGACTGAAGATGCATAAATTTCTAAATAAGGTAAGTGGATATTTGCTTTGTGTAGTGCTTAGATGCATAAGATCCTTGCATTCCCTTTTTTATGTTATTTTATTGTTTGATTTAAAATGTACCTTACTGAGATTATGTATTTTTTGTTTGGCTCTACTGTAGAACTTGTTGCTCCTTTGACTTTTTAAGTGAAAATACATCGATGTGTACATGGACAAAGTCAAAGGAGTGCGCATTGCCAAGTTTATTCAAGTCTCTGATTTTTTTCAAGTGAAAATAGGTTGATGCATACATGGATAAAGTCAAGAGAGTGTGCAATGCCAAGTTTCTTTAAGTGAAAATAGGTCGATGTGTGCATGGATACCGAGTTTATGCAATTATTTAAGTTAATATTTGGTCTTTGTGTAGCAGTATCCAGGTATTGCAAAGAGGCACCCGTAAATATATTTTTACCAAATTCCTCACAGTTACTGTCCCTTTTATTCAGTGATAAATTTAAACTGTCTGAGCATTTAATTTTTTTCATCAGTATATTCATTATAATACTTTGTTGTTTTTTTTTTATAATTACTGCTAATGCTTTTGCATATCTTTTGCACGTACCATAGGTTGGGAACCCCTGCTGTACATCATAAAAATATCATCATTTTTTATTGTATAAGCTATTTTTCTGCAAAACAGTAATATTGATTTTATTTATCTTGCAAAGTAAAGCAGTGATATTGTTGCTTTGTTATCAGTATGTAACATCCTGGTAAGTAAAAATTAGAAGTAAAAATATATAATATGCAAATAATAATAATAATAATAATAATAATAATAATAACATTATATTTGCATTTTTGATTTCTAACAATGGCATCATAATGCCACAAGATAGTGTTGCTATAGGTGTTAACAGACAAATGACTCATCTTGCAAATAGATAATTTTTAATTTCATAACAATTATAAATGCAGTGCAAAGTTATAAATGTAATTCTCTTTCTTAAAAGTCTCCTCTTTTTTTTTTTTTTTTTTAAACTCTTAAGAATTCGGCATGTAATACATATAATAGAAAAATGTATTGTTTGTGTTACTGTTATGTTTATCAACAACAGAGAGTAACTTACTTTTTTTTTTAAAGGGAACCTTCTCCTGTTTCTTCTCCTGCCAAGAAACCTGCTCAGAGAGCTCAGAGGAAGCGTCGTAGAAAAGATGAATCATTGAATAAAAACACAAGTATATATCTGTTGCTTTTATATATTTATTTATAGAATTCAGATTGAATTCATAAAGAATTCATGCATCACGTTTGTAACACATACCACAGAAAGTAAGGAAATATGAAAATTAAGTGCTATGAGAAAGGAAAGAAATCATAAAAAGCAAGCCTTTTTCACTTTTATGTACTTAAAAGCATGTGTTTTTACTTATATATATATATATATATATATAAAACAATATTTTTAAATATTTGAAAAGGGAAATTATACATTTAAAAATATACTGTGATCAAAATTAAGGATACTAACAAAAAAAAAAAAAAAATTCGACTGTTATTTGTTGAAAAAATATTAAAAACTATTTATACAAAAAAATTATTTAACATAGATCATATTTATTTAAGTTTTACATTGGCATATTTTTCTTTCTATTTTGTTTTCTGTTATTAACTAGTATTTTTGAGAAGGTTCTTTTGGTTTTGTTTTTTTGGATTATCATTTTACATTGATGATGGATTCTTTTATTGTCAGAAGTCGCTGAGTTTTTTTTTTTCCAGTTGTATTTCTCTTTGATCATTTTGCCCCTGTTGGATAATTTCATAATTCTTTGTTAACTTTCTAAAATTATCCTGCATTATAAGCACTTTTTTATTACCTATAATTTCTATCATTTTAAACATTTTTCTTATTATCCATGCAGTTTTGTAAGAAAAAAACCAGCTTTGTTAGCTATGGCTCAAGTGTATGAAATTTTTGAAACATCTTCATTTTCTGCTTAAATGCAAATGTCAGAATATCATTCCTTAAAGTCAAATGTAAATAAAAATCTTCTGTAAGTATTTCTAAAATTATGTGTAATTCAAACTGTCACATTAAAGGGGGGGGAAACAACGTTCATCTAAAACTGAGTATATCATTTCCATTTAAGAACTGTCGAACTATTTCAAATTTTTCCTCTGTTGATCATAAATCTTGGTCTAGAACCAAAATCACATATCAACGCCATAAAGAATTCTGCTTCCAAATTCCAAAAACTAAATATTAATTCCAATCTTAATATCTCTAATGTTAATCTTTCAGAGGATAAGATAAAAGTATTAAAATAAAACTTCAACCTTCCATGGACATGGAAACCTTCAACTACTCAAATCATTGCTCATACTCAGCAAGCTTTTAAACTGATTTAAATTTCAGAAGCATTGAAAGATATAATATTCCAGTTAATTACTTAAATACATTGATGGAGTCATGAAACTGATAAATGAAGGCCCATACTGCTTGATCTCTAAAGATCCTTCTGATAAAATTTGAAACAGCTATTATGTCTTCTCATGTACTCCCAAATGAGTTTAAAAGACTTCACATTCCACATATTGGTGACTGTGCTTAATCTTATGCTCTTCCCAAAATTCACAAAATTGGGATTCCTTTTCATCTTATAGTTTCTAACTTAGGAACAACATGATGCACTTTAACCAATATTTAGTTTCTAGATGTTTTTCTTTACTTTTTAACAATAATTACACTATGAAAAAAATTATTTTTGAAGTTTTTGAGAAACTTAAAGATATTTCTTCTCAGCACTCAGTTATGATTTCTTTTGATGCAAAATCACTGCTTAGTAATATTTTAGCAAATGCTTTGAAACTTTGAGAATTTCATTTCATGCATACTGAAACTGAGGAGTAAATTTCTGTCCCTAAAGTTTGAGTTAATCCTGCTTTCTTTCCAAAAATATTTATTATCACCAAAATGAAGAACTAGCTATGGTCCCTCAGTCCAGTACTTCCTAATGATTTCAGTTATTCGAAAGCAAGTGTCATTGGAAAAAATTTTCTCGCATGATCATTGATAAGAACACATTCATTGTTCAAAAGAATTGTAATAACCTCATCATCATTCCATTTCGTCTTTTTATCAATTATAAAAATTGGTCAGATTCTCCATAAATTCAACTTTCAGGTAATTTTCCCAAATAAAAGTGAAATTCTTTGTTTGATTCTTAAAGATACCATCTCTGACTTTAAATCTTAGGGAATTTATAGTGTCTTGTTGAGTGGTTTGAGATATATCAGCCAAACTAAAAGAACATTAAAATTTCACATCAAGAAACACAAATCTTATCTTCGAAAAGAAGAAATCTTTGATAGCTAATCATGGTTGGAAATTTAATCACAATTTTGACTTTGAGTTTACAAAAATTATCCATGGAACTTCCATGGAATTATCCATGGAAATCAGTTAATGATTTGGATTTCTGTGAATCTTTTTATACTTGTTAAAATTCATCTTATGTAGTTATTTACATCAATTTGCATTTAGTCCTTCCTAACACAGTTAAAAATTCTAATACCTTAGGTTGTCATGTTCCATTACTATTTTCCTTGACAGGTGGCATTATACTCATGTTTGCTTTGCTTCATCCTTGTGTTTGATACAGTTGCTCCACCCATGTTAACAAAATGTTTTTGCTCTTGAAGAAATGGGGTATGTGTCTGATCGCCCTCAAAATCATTCAAGTTTTAAAAATCTACGCAAAAATAAGGTTGCTGTTTTGGCTTATATTAAGTTTTACATTGCATTTATCTTTTCCTATTTGATTAATTTTCGTATATTGCCAGTTGATTAATCTCAAAATATTGAATTTAAACAAGGTTGCCATGCTACCTGGAAAACCAGAAAAAGTTAGGGAGTTTAAATATTTTAGTAAAAATCTGGAAAAGTCAAGGAATTTCATATGCCAATCCCCCCCAAAAAAGCGAGTTATGTGCCGACGTTGGAAGCGATAACTTTCTTGGTGAATTGTGTATCGCGTGAGTGTCATTCGGGCAGTTGGCAAAGAGCCAATTTTTGAAGCTCCAATTAGATTATCTTTTAGATAGGCAAAGCAAGTTTCCAGCAACTTTGGTTTCCAGTAACCTCGAGAATCGCATGCGCACGTGCAGTGCATGTTGAACTAAAACAATATACTTATTCTCTTATAAAACAAAATCAGTTTAATCCTAGTATACGATAATATGAAAGTTAGAATCAAAGAATATGTATTTGGCCAAAGCTCAAAGCCAGTGTTGAAGTTCGAAGGTCATGTTATCAAGAGTTCATAAAATGAATTTTGTTTAAAATTTCTTTAAACTTTAAAACAAAAGAAAATATTTTTTCGCTTAAGTAAATTAATTAATGGATCAGTTATTTTGAGGGGAAGAAAACTATGAAAATCCGTGTTTAAATTATTGTGAAAAATCAAAGAAAAAACATTTTGTCAAAGAATATTTCTTCTTAACACGTTCTTCAATTTCCTTGGCGAATTTTCCCTCCGCTTTCTAGCGGCGTAATAGCATTACATCTATGGAACCTTTCCTTCTTTACATATACTTTCTTAGGTTAGAATAACCTCCATATACAGTACACACGGGATATGGCGACATTATGATGAGCAGTAAACGGGTCATTTTGGTGTTGGCGACAATTTTCAAAATCGTCCCAAGGCCTTACCGTATACTAGGATTTTATCACAAAATTTTTAAAGCTTTTTTTTTCCCTATTTAATGCCTTATTTGTCCTTTTACAGTAAAATAAAAGAATAGTAATCAGTTATCTAGGCTAACCATTAAATATAACTATATTCGCTAAAATATCATTGATTATTCTAATCAATTTTTAAGTAATTAGCTTTATTTTTATGTTATTCATATCATTTAATGCTACTTCTTCCCTCTAAATTTATTTATTATTAGTAAATAATCCTTTCAAGTTTCAGGAAATTTTCTCTGTCAAAATTCTGAAATAAATTCTAGTGGATATGACATGCATCATAAATTTAAGCCATTTTTCTATGTATCGTAAAAATAAAATACTAATTTTTAAAAAATTGAAATTTTTTTTTTTACTGCAATTAAAAAAGATTTATAATTCTTATTAGAAAACGATGAAAAAAACATACGAGGGCCATCCAGGAAGTAGATTACGTTTCCGTCTGTGTCCGCTAGGGGCGGGGCTAGCGCGGCCATCTTGGGGTCAGAGCGTTGCGCAGCTCAGTCTGCATCTAGCCGTGCTAGTGAGAGGTTCGTGCTGTGCTCCGTTCAGATACTGTGACGGTTTGAAATGTCTGCGTTAATTGAAAATCCCGCGAGCTGCGAGGTGCGCTCAGTAATAAGGTTTCTGACTGCAAAAAACTGTAAACCGATAGAAATCTATCGGCAGCTTCGTGAAGTGTATGGGGACAACATTATCACTGAAGGTGGAGTGCGTCAGTGGGTCATAAGATTTCAAAATGGCCGAACCAATGTTCACGACGAAGATCGAAGTGGGAGACCCAGCATAGTGACCGCCGAACTTCTCGAAAAAGTCGATGCTAAAGTCCGTGAAAATCGAAATTTCACAATACTCGTAACGGAACTTTCTTTGAGTTTTCCACAAATTTCGCGAAGTTTGTTGCACGAAATCATCAGCGAAAAGCTTGGTTACCACAAGTTTTGTGCAAGATGGATTCCAAAAATCTTGACAGAGGACCACAAAAATCAGCGAATGGCTGCAGCGTTGAACTTTTTGGACGCTTACCATAAGGATGGTGACTCTTTACTCGATCGCATCGTTACTGGTGACGAAACATGGGTGAAACATGTGAACTGTGAAACGAAATTGCAATCAATGCAGTGGGGGCACACAAGTTCTCCCCAAAAACCCAAGAAATGCATGCAAACAATGTCGGCAAGGAAGATGATGGCGACTGTTTTTTGGGACAGAAAAGGTGTAATTTTGGTGGACTTCCTGGAAAGAGGCACTACAATAAACTCTCAAAGGTATTGCCAAACTCTCCAAAAACTCAGAAGAGCAATTCAAAACAAGCGCAGAGGAATGTTGAGCTCTAAGATCTTGTTGATTCACGACAACGCCCGGCCCCACACGGCAAATGTCACTCGTAAAGTTCTTGAATCTTTTAAGTGGGAGTTGTTTCCTCATCCGCCGTACAGTCCCGACCTGGCACCGAGCGACTTCCACCTATTCCCAGCAATGAAGAAGTGGCTGGCTATGCAGCGTTTTGATGACGACGCACAGCTGCAAGAAGAGGTAACGAAGTGGTTGAAGGCGCAGGCGGCCGAATTTTTCGACGAAGGAATTTCCAAGCTCGTACATCGCTACGATAAATGCCTTAATTTGTATGGTGACTATGTAGAAAAGTAGTATTTGAGTGTGGCTTTCATCTGTATATAATAAAATTTGTTTCCTATACTTTGTTTATTTTTTTATTCCAAAACGTAATCTACTTTCTGGATAGCCCTCGTATTTATGCGTTTTTTGGAAATATGTAATTAATTTATTAACAGCCAACGTGCATTACACAGATAGACTTGAATTTTCTTAAAACATTCCCCTAAAGTCAGGGAATTTCATTCTCCTGTTTGAGTGGCAACCCTGTTTAAAGTCAAATATATGTACTTTAAAAAATGAGGAAAAAGTTCTCTCTTCTCTTTTGCATTAAATCTTTCTTTGGCCATGTCTGACAGAAATGTAAATATCACATCTTATTCTCATAGGATTACTAGTAGTTGAATATTGTAAAATTGTGTGCAGCTGTTTGTAAAGTACATTTTTCAGAGCCTGTTGAGTCCAGAGAGAAATTATCATTCTGCTGTTGCAGCTTGAGGCATTCTACACTTGCTGAATCTGGTTTTGAGAGTGTGATGAATAAGCTTGCTAATTTATCCAAATGTTATCTTCTGTTTCCAAGTGTTCTGATATCAGAGATTCTCAATGTGAATGAGTTCTATCATCTTTTAAACAAATTTTTGGTCTAGTTGCACCTCTAACCAGCTTTACACGGAGCTCTAAAACTTTGTCCACATATCTGAGATCAATTACAAAACCTCCATCAAAAATGTACATCTTAATGCTGCTGTTTTTAACAATTCCACCCTCCAACAATGTTTTTGTGGAAACAGGATCTTTCATTAACACAGGAGGGCAAGCTATATGTTCCTTCTAAATCGAAATATCTTTAAAATCACAGTTTAAGTTATACCTTGACTCTCCTAGTAAACAGTGTATAATTCTTTTCCTCTTTGGTCCAATAACATGATGATTATCCCACTTTTACATGGGCCCCCTTTAGAAGTTGGATTGAGTGGACCTCCAACCATTGGTTTTTTCCTCATAGAGTCCAACCTTGTCAAGTCCTTGTGCAGCATTAGAAAGACTAATTCAAAAGTTAAAAAGTGATTCCATGTTCTTGATATGACACTTTAAAGTATACTCAAAAACTTCCATTTATGTCACCCCCTTAAAGTCTTTCTGTTAGCCCCTGTTTTTGTCTTTCATGTATATTATGTATTTTACTTTTAGTGAATACTGATCACTTTCAGAAACTACATCAACTTTAAATAAAACTAAGCACTGAATTCCAACAGACATCCATTTCAGAAATGTTTTCAGTTGCCTAATTTGCATACTTTCCATCCTAACATATGTACTTTTTTGTTCAGTTAGAGATTACCAATACTGGAGAATATAAAGTTAGCTCTTTGCACACCATGTAGAAGAGCGGTCGTCAATCCTTAGAACTTCATGGACAACTATATATATAATTTTATATTTGGTGGACCACTAATATGAATTTTAAAAAAATGGTAAATACATTTATACAATAATATTCAGCAAACTGCACACATTTCATTCACATTGAAACATTACATGTAAAGTACAAAAATTGTACCTTCTTGTACAGAAAGCTTCACATTTCCACATCACTGGAAAGAAACTGCACGAAAAGCAAGAACAAATCGGCAAAAGCAAAGCAATATCAATAAACTGATAGTGTTATAACTTTTTAATTATTGCAAACATAATAATCATCACTTATTCAGCAATGGCGCCATCGATCAACAGTTAGATGAAACAAAAATGGAAACTTCCAGTGATGCAATTATAAACAAGAATGCAGACGGTTCACTTAAAAATCCATCAAGTTGCCTATTGACACGGAGAAAAACTGTGTTATTAACAACTACAATAGCATATGTTTGTAATTCAAAAGGAAAGAGAATTCCAGTTCTCGCTAATATTGATAACAGCTGCATATCCATGGATGCCAAATCTCACTTTCAAATGTTGCTAGATACACCTGCAAAAGTAGCTAAAAAGTCAGGAGTTTCTCTAAAGGTGCTAGTCAAAAAAAGTATAATCCATATTCTATAATAGGTTTTGTTACATGTCATTTTTTAAACTGAAGCTTCATAAAACTATAAATAATGTCCCAATTTTTCTCTGATCAGCAAAACGTTATCACGGACCACTGGTTGGCGACCGCTGATGTAGATTATAGACAGTAGTGGATTGTGAGGCTGCTACTGCATACATTCAACCCAAGTATGCTGATATTCATCTAGATGCACTTGTATCCCTCTAATGATTCACATTCCCATTTTCAATTCATGATCTCTAAATCCTGTGCGCAATTAACAAATGTTGATGTGATGGTACTGACCAATCAGCTAGTATCTAGATTTAAAATGAAACCCTTCATTAAATTAGCAGTTTCTTAAAAACTTCTTTGGCATTGTCTCTCAGGCATCTTTACTACTTAGCATTTATTTTGGCATGAAAAATTGATAAGTAAAAATATATCCATTAGGATTGACAAATGTAATTTATCCGATTTTCCACTTTTATCTCGCTCATTAATCATGTGACCAATTTGAATTTTAAATCAGTTGCATAGATTGTTGAGCTTTGTATTTTTTTAATTTGTGGCAAAATCTTAATGATATTCCATTTTCTGTGTCAGTTAGTGTATAATTTTATGCTATTAGAAGAAAAAAAAAAAGATTTAAAAAGTATAAGAGCTATGTGACTATGAATTAGAATTCTGCTTTTAAAGAATTAATTAGTCTAATGCTATTTCAGCATGAAAAGTAATCAGTACTTTAAAAGTATTGATCAAAAATTTCCACTTAAAAATTATTAAAAACTGATATTTGTTATAGAGCTTTTTTTAAGAAAAAAATTGATTAACAAATTATAATGCATTTATCTCTGAATTATTTTTGTTAAAGATTCTTATGTGATGAAACTATTTGACCGTGCTGTTGATCTCACTCCATTTACTGAGAAGACTCCACTGTATCCTATCTGCAGAGCTTGGATCAATAACCAGTCATTGTACAATGCAAGTCAACAACCAAAGGAGGAACCGACTGCCGACGAGATTGAAACTTGTGATGAAGCTGATAAGGCAAATATCTTGATTTTTGTTGGAGAAGAATTTAAAATATTAAATATTCCAAAGTTTAACAGAATTTTTTATAGCATGAGTATTGACTTATTTCATTGAGATATTATAAATATTTAATCTTTTTAAACTTAATGATTCAAATGATTCTGAAACATTTTATTGCATAGCACAACAGACTTATTACAGTTTCATAGTCATGTACAAATTCTAATACCATCTAAAATTATTTACAGTAGTAATAAAACAGGTAATACAGTACATGGTTTCCTAGCATCATAATTTTAAAATCATGTTACAAATATATAAGCAAATTAAATTATTAAAAACCTTTAAAACATTGTTTTACAAAGGAAAATAAAGCGTAAAGCCCATATTTTAATATACTTCATTTTAATAGGCAAGTATTTGAAATTTTACTACATTTTTTTATATTTTATACATCTGCTTTCTGCCATTTAATCCTCTTATCTTAGATTTGTTGTCCTCACTCAGTAACTTGAAATGTAAAACTCTAGTGAATAAGTGAATGCAGAGCAAGTTCACATTAAACTATAAGTAAATTTACAATGTAATTATTATACTTGTAAGTGTATTTATAACTATAATTAAAAATTTAATGAACTTTTTTCACTGCTCTTTGAGGGGTCTTGAAACACGAACATATAAATGTGTACAATACAAATAGTACATTTAATTTCTATCAACCTGGCTCCAAATTACTCACAACCTGTAGATATAAACATTAGCAAAAGCCAAGAAATGCCAAAACCAGTTTGGACTGCAATCCCACCTTATTTACAACCTGGTGAGGCTGACCGAAAAAAAAGTACAGATTAAATTTAACATAAAAATCACATGTTAAATAAGCCTTACAAATTAAGTAAAAAGAGTGATGACGAGAGATAACAAAATGATAGTGCTTCTATAATCACATTTAGTGATGATAATTTTTTTCTGCGGCATAATGAAATTCAAATGCCAAAAATTATATTGAATTTTATTCTAAATGATCAAGAGAAAATGCATTTTCTGAAACAATTTTGTTTCTCTTTTTAAAGGTTCTAGAAGACCCCAACTCTGAAGAAATTCGCCAGCTACCCCCACCAAGACCTTTAAATGGTCGGGATTTACGAATACCATCACCCATTCCACAACCAGAAGAAGTCTTTACAGTTTGTTCAGTAAGTTGTTTTACATCAGTAATCTCAGTTATGCATATTTTTTTTTAAACTTGTGGGATTTTTATAATGAAGTATTATGATGAAAAATGGATGCTTAGAAAAAATGATGTCTGGCTGGCACCTGCCAGTACAACCCATGATCTCGGCTTTCTTTTGCTCATTGCAGTAACTCTAAAAGCTGTTTTAGACTTTGCTAGGAAGATTTTTTTTTTTTAGCAGAGGGGGGGGGAGGGGAGAGTAAGCATGAAATTTATTTTTCCCTGTTTGGCTGAGGGCGAATGTTGAGTTATTACTTTTTTTTAATACATTAAATAATTCATGAAAATTGTTTAAAATTTGTCTATAAGGGACATTGTCACAAATGAGAGTTAGTCCCAAAGAAGATCCTAAAGCACTGTACTAGAGGTTGATAAGGCTATCAATGAAATGTTGTTTTTTCATATCCACCAAAATTCCAAATTTATTTGAAGAATCTGCACCAATGATAAGTTGTTATATATCCACAATTAAAGAAGTGCCAGGAAAACTGTCTTGTTAAACCAGTGGTCAGCAAAGTGCGGCTCTGGAGCTGCATGTGGCTCTTTGGCTCCTTAAGTGCGATCCATGGAAGGCGCAATAATATTTTCATTTAAAAAAACTTGGTAAGAAAAAACTTACATCTTATTTTGATAAATTTAAATTCTTCTATAAATCGAGAACATGTATAATTTTTTGTTTGTGTAAAAAGATAGATAGGTAATTAAAATTTTATATTGTTGTAAAAATACGTAACGAACATCAAGTTTGATTTTATTAGATTTCGTAAACGTAAACATAAATCATGTACAAGCTAACCACCGGCATGAACGTGCATGCTTTTTATAAAGTAGTGAAGATACAAAATTGGCATCACAGAGCAACAGTTTGCAGTGTGAACAGTTTTGTCATATCTATCTACCGTGTCTGCCGTTGTCCTGTCTTATTAAAAAGTTGTATTTTTTAATCTAGCTGCACATCTTACAGGTATTTTTATACAATTTTATTACACCTGCTATGTATGTTTGTGGTTCCGGTACAAAATTTGTAATCGATTTTTCGATAACTTCTATTTGTCCAAATATTAGAAGTTTTCTTCCATTTTCGATCATATTAAAAGTTTTGTTATTCGGATGATGGAAAAAATTATTTTTTTCTTTTTAGTGCAGTTACATATATTAATAAAATTGCATTATTTAAAAAGATTTTTTTAATTTTTATTTTCATCAATTTAATAATGATAATAATTTTGTACTGGTGGCTTTAGAAAAAATATATTTGGAATATTTTTATAGGCACCCCAATTAACATGGCTACCAAAAAAAAGCAAAGAAAAACGGAAGATGAAAACCTCGAATTTAAAGTTGAGTGGACCGAGAATTTTGCGTTTATTCAAAACTTGAATGGACTTCCGACACGTCTTATTTGTAAGGAGAAATTCGCGCATAACAAGAAGTCAAATTTAGAGAGACACTTTACAAGAAAGCACGCGTCATTTAACACTAAATATCCTACCGGTGATGCAAAGGAAGAAAGCAGTTGAGGAACTTCAGAAGAGTTGTCAACTTCTGTGTTTAATAACTGGATGCAATCTTCCAGCAATATTAATATGGCAAGTTTTGTTTATAGCCAAGAGATTGTTAAGAGAGGAAAACCGTACATAGACGACAAATACATAAAAAATTGTTTTATAAATGCATCCGAAGAGCTATTTTGGAATTTTAAGAAAAAAGCAGATATTCTGAAAAGAATTAAAGATTTACCGTTGTCTGAAAACCAATTAAAGATAGAACAATTAAAATGTGTTCGAATATAACCACCCAGCATATCGAAGATCTGAAATTGGTTTCGGCTTTATCAATAGCAGTTGACGAGTCTTGTGACATAAATGATACAGCGCAAGTTTCACTTTTTGTAAGATTTGTGTCTCATTCAGGCCCTAAAGAAGAACTTTTAAGGATTATTGCCACTCAAAGGTCAGATGCGTGGAGAAGATATCGCCAATGCTGTAATTGAGTGTTATGGATAAGCATCATATTCCCCTCAATAAAATTGTGTCGATTTCAATAGATGGGGCCAAAAGTATGAACGGCGTAAGAAAAGGGGTTGTTGCTATTTTGAAAGAAAAAATTAATCACAAGATACTTGTTTACCATTGTATCATTCACCAAGAAGCGCTTTGTGCACAAACATTTGCGGAAGAAATTTGTAAAGTTATGGAATTAGTGATTACCATTATTTACTCCATTTTAGCTAAAGCTCTTAATCATCGTCTTAATAATCTCTCCATTTCAAAGAGTGAGTACGCTGATCTTCTGCTTCATAACAAGGTACGTTGGTTATCAAGAGGGAATGTTTTTAAACGTTTCGCGTCCATTTTTTCCGGAAATTAAAGCATTTCTCCTTGACAAGGGCGTTCACTATCCAGAACTAACAGACGATCAGTGGATCCAAAACTTTTATTTCATCATAGACATTACGTCTCATCTAAATCAGCTGAATCGTAAACTACAAGGGAAAGGAAACTTAATTTTTTCGATGTTAGAAGTAATAACATTCGAAAATAAATTATCCATTTTTGCACAGGATTTTGAAAGGGAAACATTGTTTCACTTTCCGAGGCTGGTGAAGCATCGCCAAGAAAATAATTCCTCTGTTGATAAACACCATTTTAAAACAATAATTTTAAATATGAGGGAAGCATTTCTCAGCAGGTTTCAAGAATTTAAAAACAGCAGAGCATCTTTAGCGTTTGTCAAAAATCCTCTTAATGTTACGATGATCGAGTTGAAATCTTCTCCTTTTGAAATTGACATTGGTAGCTTTGAAATACAATTGCTGGATTTAATAAACAAAGAGATATGGCGCTCTAAATTCAAACGTCTTTGTGTTGAACTGGAAATATTGGAGAAGAAAAATGTGATCTTAGTTTACAACACAAGTGGTCTGCTTTGAATGACCTGGAGAAGGAAGACATGATCATTTTTCAAACACTTGGAATAGTATTCCTGACTCTTACGATCAGCTGAAAAAGCTTGCATTTGCGTTCTTTCCCCTTTAGGTTCTACATATATATGCGAACAATCTTTTTCAAGTATGAACATTATCAAAAGTAAACTGAGAAGTCGTCTTATTGATGATAACTTGGAATCATCCCTAAAATTAAAAACAACATACAAACCTGACATTCTCAAACTTTCCAAGGAGATGCAAGCACATTGTTCGCATTAATAAATATTTATTAAGTATTAAATTTAGTTTTATTTAGTGTAATAAAAGTTTACTAAACAAGCAGATGTTGCTCCCAATTTTTTTTTTTTTTAATTGTTGTAATGTTCATATTTGGCTCTTTGGCTAATAAGTTTGCCAACTACTGTGTTAAACCAAGATCAAGTTCAAAATGTTTAGTGCCATAACTGCATATTTTTGAACTATTGACAGCATATAAAGTCAAATTTTGATGCATCTTACATTTTGTAAATTTTTTAGGAATGCAACTAACTGCTGCACTGTTATCAATCAAGAATTGAAAACCTGTACTTTTATCCAAAATGAACAAGTGGGCAGTGCACTTGACTATCATCCATTGCCACTAATACAGAGATGCCTGAAAGTTTTCCTGCCATTTGTATGGGGAAATGTATTTTTTATCTTTTTGAGCAAAACGGCTGTGATACCAGCACAAACCGTGAGTTTGCGATTTAACATAATGATTTTCACCTCTTGATTTACTTGAATTTTGCTTTCTACTTTCACTACATCGCTGAAATTTAGTGCAAGATGTGCACTCTAACTGTTGCTTTCAATGCCATGATTTTATCTTTTAAGATTTGAAGAGTTAGTGCATTACCACTTACAGTCGCAGTTTCAGGTGGGTAGCCAGATATCTCAGTTTTTGCCGAACCATCTAATTACAATATCTTTTGAATTGAAACTGGGAGTTTTTGAAGCCAAATGGATTTTAATACTTCCTCGCTGAAGTTCCCGGCTGATAAATTGTGCATTTCAAATAAGAGTTGCAATGGTCTTTTATCTCCTAACTAGAATTCTTGTAAAAGCATACACATTTTAGAGTTCTCTGATTGAAAAAAAAAAAAAAAAAAAAAAAAAATTGGTCTAAAATTCTTAGTTTCAGTTGGTTGTACATGTTAGTTGGAGGATTTTGCACAGTATCAGATATATATGTCAAAACTTTTGCATCTGATTCAGCTGTGTCTGAGTGAAACTGTATGTGATCTGATGTGATAACAGGTAAATTAAAATTTGATTCTAATTTTATGAACCATAATTCTGGATTATTTTTCCAAAATAAAGATTCACAAAAATGAACTCTAGAGAGTTTGACAATTTGAGTTTCACTGTTATGCACATTTAATTTTCAAAAAAAGCTTTTAACTTATTAAATGTTGTTAAATATAAAACAATGCACGAAAGTTGAGCAGTTGAAAATTGTAAGCTAAATTATTGATCTTACTGTTTTTAAGAACTGATGACTGTTAACTTGCTTCCATCTTGCCACTGTTCAGTATTACAATGTGATGTTGTCTTCAAATATCATGCCCGGATAAACCATGCCACTAATACAGAATAATACCATTTTGGAATGGGTGAAACGTTTTCCAATTTATAACTCGATTTGTATTTAGAAATATATTAATTTATTTACAAGTTGAAATAACAGAACATATTATGACAATTCAATCTCAAAAATAAAATATAAAACAATTTTGTTGTTCCAAGCTTATTGTTACTATGGTAAATTTCACTGAAGTTTAATCATTGCTTCAAAGGGGGAAGAGGAAGAGGGTAAATGAATTTTTTGACTAACTTGGTAAACTCTTCATTCAAAAGTTGTATATAATGAACTTACTTCCTTTTAAAGATTATGTCATTGTAATTTACATTATATTGTAGTGAAATTGATAAAAATATGTAACTATAACAGATATTTAAAATTTTTCCTCTTTAATTATTACATTTTTATATTTCATATAAGGATGACCAAAATGATTTAACAAAAGAAACACTGATGGCAAAACACCTACAGCGTTGGAAGGCAGTGCGTCGAAAGTAAATAATTTTTATATATTTGTAAATTATATTTTTTTTGGAAATTTTATAACAGTTCTTAAATTTTACAAATTCAAATTTTTCAAATTTTCTCAGATGGAAACAAGCTGCTAAAGCCAATGAAGATCGTTACAAGGAGAGTGGTGCAATATTAAAGGCTATGTTTGAAAGGTGAGTTTTATAAAGCAAAAAGCAAAATGAATAAATTTATGCTAATTTATAATGAATTCCCAGCTGTTACTGTTTTATGAAGTATTTTGTATTTCATAATAAATAAAGTATTAATAATAAATAAACTCAGATCACAAATGCCTCAACGTGATGAACTCAACTACGGGATGAACATGCTCATGAACAAATTATCTGAACAAAAAATATCTCAGATTATGAATGGTGTCCTGAGTTAAAAACACTCAGGTCGGCAACATACGGTATTTTGAGATAACCTAAATTAATATTACATAAAAAAATTAATAATATTAAAATAATGTTTACATAAAGACCTAAGTGTTCATACTAGGATTGTGTAAAGTTTCAGCACAGAATTTATTTAAAAAAGATAATATTCGGAGAAGGCAAACTGTATAACTGCTTAGTTTGTTGCATGTGTTTTTTCTAACAGATTTTGTCTATTGGTGTGTTCACAACTTTTGAATGCTTTTGTGGAAACCATTTATTGGAATACCTTTTTTTTATTTTTTTTGTCATGTTTTTTCTGAATTTTTAGAAAATATCAAAATTATTTCCATTAATTTAAGATTTCATTGAAAGGAACTACATGTTATCAGGTAAGTTAAAGGATAATTAATAAATGTTACAATCTATGCAATGCAGTAGAAATGGAAGTCACTTAATCCGAGAATTGTGGTTAAGAATGATTCTTAACCCTTTGTGTGGCCCGGGTTTTGGGGTCTGTAATCATGGACCTTATAAGAGATAGACTAACGCAGTGGGCGGAGCGTGTGTCACTCACATGTCTGCAAGAAAGAGTAGGGATGATCTGGCTTACTTTAACATGAAAACCTATGGCGTTTGTATCACATACAGAGGCTGTACACATTTTTTAGACGATGTATATTGTATTCACAAAACTAAATTACATAAAATTCTTGTGTTTTAAATGTTCTATTTGACATTCCTTATTCTGAACTATCTTTCAAAATTGCAATTTCCAGGATAATAATGCCTTTTGAAGTGGCAGAAGAGATATTCTATCCCATTCCTCCGGAACAGCTTTCCAGAGTCCTGTTAAGGTTTTGGGACAATGTTTGGATAATGCAGTTTTTAAAAGTCCAAAAGCACAAAAATCCATAGGTGACACATCGGGAGATTTAGTAGGGATATCAGTGAAGGGTATGGCCTTGATACCAGTTTTTTGTTCCATTTCTTTTAGGAAATTTACAGTGGATTTTGATGTGTGACTGCTAGCTTTGTCCTGATGGAGTCTCACAGATTGATGGCACTATGGGTAAAGCCATGGTATTTCATTCAGAAAAATTGGCAATAAAATATGTTCCTGATAGTATTTGGAGTTAATCTTGACATTTTTTTTGCACTCTCTTTATTTTTAACTTGCCATTATAAGAAAAACCAGCAACAATCATGAATCCCTTAGAAAAACTTTCTTTCGATTCTTTGAACCATGTACTTAAATTTTTTTCTCCCCTTTTGATGAATATAATGGCTCTTTTTTTGTTACAATCATTAAATACAACCCATGCTTCATCTATTGTGACAATTGTTTTCCATTTTTCTTTGGATAAGTGTTTCTCATATAGAATTCTGCAGCGTGTCCTGCATTGAGCGATATGCTTTAGAAGAAGACGATGGCATTGCATTTTTTCACTTTCTTAAGATTTAAATCAACGTTTATCATTTTGTTTACAGTGGACACCGAGCATTTTAATGATTTTGCAACTGTCCTTTGACTAGGCGGATTTTCTTTTAACATTAAACAGCGTACCTTGGCAATAGTCGAAGATGTCTGTTTTTTATTTGGATACTTATTTGGAATTTTTGTCCCACTTGAGGCTCCAATTTGATGTTTTTTTTTCTTTCTTGTTGATGATATTACCTATCGATGCTTTAGATATTACATAACTCTCCATCGTTTTTGGATAATGGAGTATGCATATTTCTCTTCGGAAAGAGCCATAAATGTAGCCTTCGAACCACTGCTTTGTTAAATTCGCCATTTTGAATAAAATCAAAACTTTCAAGCCACAGACGATAATTTTGACTTTTAAAAACATAGTACAATTGCAATTACTTCTTTTGCAGCAAACGATTTTTTATTACCGCTTACCAAAATCGTCTAAAAAATATGCGAACAGCCTCTGTAACTGTTTTTAATTATTATATGTCGTTTAATTATTTATGTGATATGTTGTATAAGTGATGAGATTATGAAGGTTACAGTTTTTACAAATAAGATTTAATATATCTTATAAAAGCATTTTTTACTGCATTTTGCGCATTTTTTCAAGCATAATTCTTGTATAAATTTCTTTAGTAAAACGGTAAAAATTCTAAACGCAAAACTTATGAACTTATTTTTGCATACAAATAAAGTAAAATTAAATAATATTTATAGCACATGATGCTTTGAAACAAATAAGGTAAAATTAAACAAGATCTGATAATTTTCTTTGATTTTTATGAGCATTTTCAAGCAGTAGTTTTTCAAATTGTTATAACATAACAAGACGATCATTTATTTCATTATATGATCATTAATTATTAACATTACAAGGTGATTATTTACTGTAGTAATTCATAAAATTCGGAGCATAAACTTTTCTGAGTGTAACGAGGAAAAAAAGAGATAAACTCTGGAAGCACTCAGATTTATATTTCGTCCAAAGGAGCGTTTTTTGTAATGTTTTGTGTGTTACCTTTATCTATTAAATATCATATTCTTCGCAAATAAACCACATAAAATTCAATTCAAGAGCAATATCAAAAAATACTTGAAAATGGCATATCTTTAGAATTTCCGCACTGGAGATAAAAATGTTATTTTCCGTACAGGGTTGCCATTGCTTGCTTTGAACTCTCTGAGTTTGTCAATTAAAATTTCGTTAAAGTTACAAAATAAGAAATTGATTAAAACAAATTCGAAATTAGGTTGTCCAGGTGCTCATGTTCAGGTGGAGGATTACGTTATTCAAAATTTGATGGCTCTAAATATCGTTATTTTTTTTACAGTGTGAGAGAAACATGCATGCATTCATGCAGATTCTTCATTATTTAATTTCTTTAAATACAATATAGGGCGATAATATTTGGTGGCAACAGTTTGCAAAGTGAAACGAACATTTATGGTGAAACAAAGCAAAATGCCATTTCGAAACTAATTGCTTTTCTGAGCTGCCGCCCCTTTTCGTTAATAAAATAAATTCACAATAAATAAGAAAACTTATGCAGAACTAGAAATAAGTTAAAAAAATAATCATTATAAAATACTAGCACAATTAAGTATTATAGTTAAATACAATTTTTAACATTAGAATAAATGCATAAAAATTATTAACATGTTAAAAGTGTTTATCACTATGATGTATTATGAAATATTATTGAAATAAAACTTCTTTGTAGAATATTATGCTATAATATTCAGATATAATTTTAAAAATGCAATACAATTAAGAATTTTAAAAACTTTCAAAAATCTATTTTTTTGGATTTTAGTATTTTTTAGTTATTTACACCAATAAAAATATTAAAAATTGTAAGAGAAAATTGTTTGTTTGAATTTTTTTATTAGTTCAGATTTAAAATATTATTTTTTTAAAAGAAGTAGATGCAAATTTCTTTACAGTATAGGAAAAGCTAAAAAAATATCCAGACCTGAAAGCATGCAACAACTTTATAATTATTTAGAACATTAATTATGCCTGATAAACGTGCTAAATTTTTAAAAATCAATCTCAGTTTCAAAAATAAAAATATCTAAAAATTCTAATTTGTGAAATGAGGCACTATCACCAGCTTTTTCTTGAAAATTATACGTGCTGCAATAGTCAACTATTGTTAAGTTTCTGCAAGTCATCCCTACTCCTTCAGATGTGGTCATAAAATGAAATTTATATTATTAAAGAAAGTAATAGAGCAAAATATTATAAATTATAAGCAAATATATACTAAGTGACAAAAAAATCTCATAACCGGATAAAGCCGGTCATGGCGCTCTGAGGGTTAAATATGAGTTGCTATACATTCGCCATATTATGGCATCTGGTATTCTGCTATTATCTGGCACCTTTTTATTTGTGAATCTTCCAATGACAGTTTTGGTTGTAGCTATAACTCCTACATCACCATCTAAAATATTAACCTTTATTTTTTTGGGGAGAAGGGTAACCATGGATTTATAATTTTACCCCCTGTAACTCAGGGGTTGATTATAATTGCATTGTGCAAAAAGGCAAGAGAAATCCGTTATTTAACTGAAAATTTTGTGGTTTAATGCAATGAATTAGTTTCAGAAACTAGATTTATTACATCTTTGCAGAGCATGGAATCTGAGGAATTTTTTTTTTTTTTTTTTTTAGAACAAGAAGTATCAGTTAAAAAAAAAAGTCACCAAGCTTGTGAAAGCAAAATTTTTCTGTGTTTTTGGAGTGTAATAATTATACAATACAAAATTAATGTACACATGAAGCTACATTCAGTTTTTTGCATGCAGAATTTACAGACTTCCAGTTCAGAATTGTAGTTAGGTAACCTTTGTGTTTTCAATCTAATTTTAGTATATATTCAGAGGAATGTTGAAATATTAATCAATGCCCTATTTTATAAGTCAGCATATAACATTTAATTAGTGTAATTATTTAATACAATTTGTGCATTATTATTTTTTTAAAAGAGCATACTGTATTCCACTTTTAAGCAAATATAAACAGATACATATGTTGTTATGAACATATGTACAGTAAAAGGCTGATAATCTGACATTTAGCTAACTGGAATATTTAAGAATTCTAGAAAAAAATTGTCTAAAAAAATTTATTAAATTAGAAATTTGTATTGCCATTATGGAGCTTGTAATATTATTAACATATATAAATTGTCACCAAACATTATGATTTATTGCTAGTAATGGATAAGCATAATGTTACAAACAATCATTCAGAAGTTTGTTTCAGTTTAATGTAAATTTGATTAATTTTCTACAAGCCAGTTAAAAGGAAGGATATGAGTTCTATTTTTACATCATATTTGGAAAAAAATATTAATATTCTGGACTGCATGAAATGGAATATTTTCAACATTACATGATCCAGGCATTAAAAAAAGGCCATGATATGTGAATTTAAAAATCGATAAATGATGATATTATAACAAGAAAAATTACAAAGAGCAGTGTGAGTGTTTTATATGCTATACTTGTATCTGTATTGCTTTATTATCAAACTAAATAAAGAAAAATCTGTTCATTTAAATTTCTACCAGAAAGATTGGCGACATCCCCATCAACTTTCATGTTCGACGGGATTTCATAATAGAAATATATTGGCTTTTATGACAGAAATGCATCTCTCACCTCAAAAATCTTACATAATTTTAAATAATGTATAGGCTTTGATATTCAAATTGGTAGCAAATTTGATCACTGTTTTCATACTTTTAAAGCAGAATTTTTTCCCATTCAGGTTTTTTTATAATGTGGAATTTTCTTTCTTTTTTTTTTTTTTTTTTTTCTTTTTACACTCAACTATCGGTAATTTTCATGAATCCAGAATTTGACATTTCCTGTACTTGGTGGATACTCGAGCTTTTACTGCATTTGTGAAAATAACATAACAGCTGCCAAATTAGGCCAGTTTAATTCAAAGTATGGAGAATATCTGATTTATTGGAAAAGGAAGTATATCAGTAACATTATACCCAACTCACATACACTTTTTCATTACAGAAGCATTAATCAAATTCTGATAAAAATGGTAAGTGTAGTTCTGAAAATGGAAATTATACATTATTTATCTGGAAAATACTCTTTTGAAATTTATTGCTGCAATCAGATAACACCAAAACTGCTTTCATCAGATTTTGAAATGACTTGTGCAGTACTCCACTAAATTATGCTTTTCTTTAATTTAGAGCTCAGTGTCGTGAAGAAACAGTGTCTGCAGATCATTGGGAAGCAGTGACATCAGTTTCATAAATCTGGCTTTTTAAATGAAGGTTTGTTGTGAATTTGAATTTATTAATGCAATTAATATGTATTTTATAGAATTTACTAAATTAATTTAATTAAGATAATTGATATGTTGAAGATATTCAACTGCACTTTAAATGCTACTTTGAAGATATTCAACATTAATTTCAGGTTTGAATATTGGAAAAATTGACATCAGATAATGTTGCTTTCCTCATTTTCATGTATTGAACATCTTCAGTAAATTATTTAACACATTCACAGATAGGGTGGCATATGCCAGTCTATGTATAGGGGATACAGCACTATGTACTGTGCAGCTTTGATGCATTGAGAAAAAAAAAAAGCAACATATGCTACCAATTATTACATATGACAATTAATAAGCTTTAAAGGGTAGAAGAATTCTTCAATAAAAGTGTCCATGAATATATTAATATTAAATTTATAAATTTGTGCACCAGTTTTACAATTACTTAAGTATTAGCTGGAACACATCTATCAGTGGCATAGCTAGGGGGGCAAGTGGGGGACACATATTTCCAGGCGCAGCATCCCGAAGGTGCCAAATTGATGTTAAGAAATTTTAAAATGAAATGTTTTTCATTCTTGGCATACAGAAAGGGATGCAAAGTCTTCAGTTGGTATGGGGAGCTGAAAACCCTAGGTACAGATCTGCCACCTATACATTGGTAATGATCCAACTCTTGAATATGCTTTCTTGTCTCACAAGCAGCCTTAAAAGCTGTTTTATCCTTCACAATAAAGGCGTGATTTTTTTTTTCTCTTAACTTTTAGCAGTTAAGGGAATGTTGATGTATATTTTATTTTTCATCCTTTTTTACCACAACATCAAACTACCTACAATTGTAGATACCTTAGGATTTTTTGGAAGCAGGCAAGATGAAAAATTAGCAATGCCTTCGCCGGGACTCGAACCACGGACCTCTAGAATACCGGCCCTGCGTGCAGAACCACGCCTTACCAGGAAGAACGAATCGGGAGAAATACCTTATACAGTAAGCAGATATCTTCATTACAATTCTTTTCCTCTAGAAAATTCACCTGGCAACATTTGGCCATCTCACATTAATTTTTATGCAGTTTGCATAATACAATCTGTGCGTTTATTATTTTTTAAAAGAGCATACTGTATTCCACTTTTAAGCAAATATAAACAGATGCATATGTTGTAATGAACATATGTACAGTAAAAGGCTGATAATCTGGCATTAAGCTAACTGGAATATTTAAGAATTCTAGGAAAAAAGTGTCTAAAAAATTTATTAAATGAGAAATTTGTAATGGCATTATGGAGCTTGCAATATTATTAACATATATAAATTGTCACCAAACAGTATGATTTGTTGCTAGTAATGGATAAGCATGATGTTACAAACAATCAATTAGAAGTTTTGCATAATTTATACTAGATGTGCCAAGAATGAAAACAGTAGCAATTCGTTATTTCCAGATGTGATATTTTGCCAAAAAATCAATGAGACTGGTATTTTTATGCTGCTGAATTATACTTGATAGAAGTGCAGTCTTAACAACTGTTGATAGGGTGTTAGAAGTGTTTTCTTTAACTAGGTACTAGAAGAAGTATTTAGTTAAAGAGTCTAAAGAGAAGTCTCTTATTGTCTTATTTATAAGAATTCTTATTTTAGAAGCACAAAGAAAAGATAAAAAAAAAATCATTTGGAGAGGAGGGAGAATAAAGTTTTCTAAATTAAAATTGCTACAAGGGGGGGGATGTTTCCTAATTTAACAATATTAGTTGAAGCTGTGTTATATGTCCAGTAGTCGTCAGCAGCAACTAAATATTTCCCTTGAAGAATAATTTCTTTCAATAAAGGAAAAATTTAAACACTCATTAATAATTGATTTTACTACTTTTTAAAAAATAATGTAGAAATGTCTCCTAAAATTAATGAATAAATATTTCCATTGTTTAAAAATTTGTGTCATTAACATATTAAATAAATGAAATAGTTACATGCAAATTACACATAAAACGAATAAAATGCTTATATGTTAATAAAGTACAACTAGATGTAAGTTTCAGAGATAACTACAGTGAGGTGTATTGTAACATTTTCCTTTTTGTAATTGTTGGACTTATATTAAATTAACCCTTTGCGGCACAGTGTGTCCAATTTGGACACACCTAAAAATTTCCTTCTGTATGCACAGAAAAAATGAATGAAAAATTATTTATTGGTTACTCTGAACCTCCTTTATTTATAGTAGATGGCAGCTCAACACAAACCAGTCCATATATTTTAGTCATGTTTAGTTTTTTAAGACCCTCATTTTTCAAAGAAATCTTCTAGATTTTTTTTTAGGGTATAAAAGGAATTGTTTGAAAAGAAATTTCTATGTTATTTTTTTGGCTGTATGCTATTCTCCTTATTTTTTGAAATAAGACTTATTATTAGTTTTAAATTTTTACCTTGAAATCTTGCTTAAAATCAAACGGCGAACCCTAGGTGTGCCCAGACCAGGCTCACCAATAATCTAGGACAAATGAGAGTCTGTATTCTTTGTTTCTCCGCATCTCATCGGTCAATTCACTGATAGCAATGCTCGTTTCAGCACTTTTTTCGAAGCTCTATTCAATCAGTATGCCCACTTTGGGCACACCCACAGAATTAAAAAATAAGTCACAAAATTTTACTTGTGTACTCCTCTAGGCCTAATTAGACTGCCTACCTTTTTTTTTTTTTTTAATCAAAACTCCAACTTTAAAAGGTAACATGCCGGAAAGGGTTAACAGTTTTGCATTGAGTTCACTTACGGTAATATGATAGTAATATCATAAAAATCTTTAAAGATAATGAAATAAAAGCAAATATAAATTTGGATAACAAATCTAATTCTTTTTTCATTACTTTCTGATTATCCACACTTTCATGAAAAATCTCTAGTTCATCAGCGACATTGTGAATTGGCAAAAAACATTTGTTTGACTATAGTATAGCTCATAAGTGTTTTCTATTCATAAATAATAATAATAAAAGCATTTTATAAAAAAAACAAGAAATTTTATAGGGAAAAATAAACAAAAATCTGTGTAATCAATATTTGCATTTTTACAGCTGGGTTATCAAAATGACTGCTAAATATTAAACATGTAAAATCTACATGTACTGAAACACATAAGTAGTATGCATATTCATGGATTATGCAAGGTAGAATTCAAAAGTTCTTGGACTGAGTCTATAACATAAAAAATATTATAAATTAAATTGCAGAAACACATCCTCCTTCGAAATAAAGACCCTTGTGCAACAACACACTTTTGCCAGCGCCTGTAAAGTTCATTGGAGCATGTCTGGAATCCATTTTTGACCATGTCAGCCTGCGATGCACATTTAACTTCATCTGAAAATTGAAATCGACGATCCAAGTTCAGGAAATAGGAAGAAATCTCAGGATGCGAGATCAGGGGAATAAGGAGAATGTGGCAAAACAGTTGTTTTAATTTTCACAAGGAAATCATTGACGAGTAGAGCTTAGTGAGCAGGAGTGTTGTCATGCAATAGCACCCATGATTGCTCAGCCCACATTTTTGGTCTCTTCTTCCAGATCGCCTCATGCAAATGATGCAGGATTTCGACGTAGAGTTCTTTGTTCACAGTGTTCATCCAGGGATAAATTCCAGATGCACAATGCCCTAGATATTGAAGAATACCTCTAGCATGACATTTCCTTTAGAATGATCTTGGTGGAATTTCTGCTTGTGTTGAGATTGTGGTGATTTCCATGTTGCCGTTGCTCTCTTGGTTTGCGAGCCATACAAAAAAACACCTTTTTCGTCTCCAGTAATAATTGTGGAAGGGAAGGATCTTTGTCAACAGCCGAGATTAAGTCTCCCACCATTTCCATTCGAATTCCTTTTTGGTCTACGTTTAACATGTGAAGAACGATGTGTTGATACACCCTTACATGTTAAGATCCTTAGTCAGTATCTACTGACATGTGGCCTTTGATATCCCAACTGATTCTGCTGTTTGGCAAATTGTTTGCTGCCTGTTCGCATGTACAAAAGACACCTTTCTGATGCTTTCATCGGTGCGCAAAGTCTCGGGATGGCCACAGCATTCGTTCGTTGTTTTCAACATTTTCCCTGTCTTCTCTGAAAGACGATGCCACTCAAAAGCTTGTGTTCTTGATAACGTTTCACTTCCGTATGCGTGCTTCAACATTTAGAAAGTCTCTCTAGAGCAGCACTCTTTCCCAAGCGAACACAAAATTTGATATTGATTCTCTGCTCAACTGTCACCATTTCTTTCTGTTGCTGGTTACTAAATGCACCTGCCTACAAAAAATGCTGTTGCCATGAGCTTTTGACCATGTGATTTGGGATATACCACTTTTAGAAAAGGGGAGAACATAGTAACACAAAAGCGTTCTCGTAGTCTCACTACTGCAAAATATTTTTACGTTATAGACTCAGTCCGGGAACTTTTGAATTCTGCAACGTAAATTGTCACATATATACTGAAAAATAAGCCAGAAATGACAGTTCGACTGAAAGTTGAAACCAGGGGTGCAGATAATCAGAAAGTACTCCCTTTTTCTTGCAAACGTTAGTATGTATTTTTAAGGGGCAGTCATCCTGACTCATGTAAAACTATATACGTTTCACACTACCTTGTTAAAACAACCATATCTGTCAGTCACCAGAAGTGGCAAGCTTGTAATAACAGTAACAGTAAACATGTAATAGCTCAGTATTATAAAAGTTCAAGTTTAAATTTGTATTCATTCCTATGAACAAAATGATAAGACTGCCAAAAATTAACATGAAAATAACTAGAACTTCAGCATGTAAAAAATACTTAAATATTGATCATTTTGAATGAAATATATTTTTAGTAAATTCAAGATAGCATATTCATAGAGCAAGCAAATTTTTAGTAAATTAAAGATATAGTTAATTGAGCTTTAAAATAGGGAAAGTTGAAACTCTTGCAGAGTTTTGAAAGGAAATGTAGATTGTCTAAAGGGAATATGAAAATTTTCTGGATTAGAGTTTTAGAAGGAAAAATAGATTGTCTAAAGGGAATATGAAAATTTTCTGGATTTTCCCTCCAGGATCTTTTGACTTAAGAGATATGCTTAAAGTAAACCTGCATCTTTGGATTTCATATAATTTTAAGGTTGGTGTTGAAGTTCGTTAAAAAAAAAAAAAAAAAAAAAAAAAAAAAAAAAAGGATCATGTTGAAATAGTGAAAAATAGCAGAAAATTAACTGCATGATAATATTGAATTTTACAATCAACTGAAATGATTTGGCTTACATAATTCTAATAATTTCTTAGTGATTTATAGTTTGAGTGTAAAAAAATTATAAAACAGTTTTTAAGCAATGTATTTTTCAGATTTTCCGATGCAAGAAATCTCAACTAGGAGAAACAGCAGTACATCATTTTAAACATTGTGTTGATATGTGTATTTAAATTTTATGACATTGTATAACATTCTTTGTAATATAGTAGTAAAACTATATTAGTTTGACTTAATCTATGTACAAGGATAGGATTTTAAACAAATTGGGTATTAACTTCATTTTTTTTTTACTTGTAATCACCCGGTGTAATAAAATTTTATGAAAATACATTAGTAAATTTTGTGTAAATGTATTTTTACCATTTTGCAGATACACAGAAGACATTATACTGAATTCATAAAATTTGTAATGCACTTTAGCATACATAGTGATACATATTATATCTGCCTACGTTAAATAACAATAAAAGGATAGCTCGAAGTAACTTGGTTGTAAAGTAATAGTAGATATTTAATGCAGTTTATCATATGGATATTTGGTGAATGTTGAAAATAGAGTCTTCTAAATGCTTTGCTCCTTGAATGTATTTTTTCAGGCGATGTGGGAATCATTTTGATATTTTTGAACATGTCCTATGGAATAGCATGTAGATCACAGTGAATAGCAATAATCAGCAAATGACAAAAAAAGACTCTTTCTTTTAGTTAATCCTCAGGAAGTAGTCTGAACTATCAATTGGAGAACATGATGCCAAAATCATATCAAAATCAGACAGTTTGGAAATGTCTGTCACAGTATAGCTTTAGTTGTGTTTGCCATTGTGCTGTCCAATTGGAACCAGATGTATCTACTAATTGGCTTGCTTACAATTTTGCATTCCTAGTTGTTCTGCCTCTATACCCAATGAGTGTCTACTGAGTATATGTTTGAATGAAGGTCTTCCCCACACATGTACTAGGCAATGGTCAGTCATATACTAAATGCATAGACTCCAACTACTACGGATTCTCCGTAGTTTCTACGGAAATTCATGAAAAACTACGAGCTACGAAAAGTATGGAAAAAACTACGGATTTTACAGAAACAAGAGCAGGAGAACCAGTACGCAAAACGGAACCAACTAATTCATCCGATGATTGGCTGAATACTCGTGTTATCATATATCACGTGTTGAGTGCGTTCCTAGTTTTGAAGAATTAGCCAATCGTAGATCAGTAACTCTCCAACCGTTAACGACTTATCAATAGTTCCACCCAATTGTCTGTCTCCCAGGTTCCTCGCTGATGCGTGTTTTAGGCTGCATTGTGTAGTTTACGGCGAGAGCTTAGCGTGTGTCTTGTGAACTGTGAATCAGGTGAAAGATTTTTAATCATGCTGCTTCCTCGAACGAAGAAGCCGAAATTATCAAAGCAGAAGTTTAAAGATTCATATTCTTCAGAATTTCCATGCATTAAAACGTCCGAAATTTCTGTGAATCACGCACACTGCAGTGTATGCAACAAAGACTTCTCAGTTGCTCATGGTGGAAAAGATAACTGTAAACGGCATGTGTTTTCTCAAAAGCATATAGAACTTGGCACCGTAAAATCTAAAGAAATAACAAATTTCTTAATAAAAGATGATGAAACAGATCCTATAAAAGCCGAATACTATTTTGTTCATTTTTTAATTGAACATAATCTACCGCTTTCTGTTTCGAATCATTCCAAAGAGCTTTTCAAAGCAATGTTTCTGGATTCTGCCATAGCAAAAAAATTTTGCTGCGGTCATACCAAAACTGCTGCTATTGTGAAAACGCTTGCAGAAAATACTGTTGCTGATATTATAAAATCAGTGTGCAGTACATCATTTTCTCTAAGTACTGATGGAAGTAATGATAACAATGATAACAAACTGTACCCATTGGTTATAACATACTACAGTAAAGAAAAGGGAGTGATAATACTTCATTGATTTCTATTTTAGAATGCACGAATAATACAGGAGAAGGTATTTTAATTGTATAATGAAAACTTTTTAAAAACAAAGGTTTAGAATGGAAAAATTGCTTATCATTTTCTTCAGATAATGCTAGTAATATGATTGGAAAGTTTAAAGGTGTAGCATCATTTATCAAAATGCATCAACCAAGTATAATCACCCGAGGTTGTCCGTTGCCACCTCTTGCATATAGCTGCAAAAAAAGCTACTGAAAAATTAATTGGCTCAGAAATTGAAATGTTGATAATAGATATATATTTTACTTGGAGAAAAGTTCGAAACGGAAGCATAGCTTCAAAGTTGCTCAACAAATTTTGGGACAGAATGCAAAATCTCATAAAATTTTGAAATATTGCAGTACGAGATGGTTGTCTCTTTATAATCTATAACAAGGATTTTGGAACAGTGGGATGCTGTGATAAATTTTTTTTGGAGATAAACCAGATAACAGTGAGAATGAAGGAAAGAGATTGCAAAACATTAAAAAATTTTACAGTCACCAACCACCAAATTGTACTTGTTATTTTTGAAAAATACTTTGCCTTTGTTTATAACAGTAAATATTAATTTGCAACAACAAGCTCCTTATATACATAAATTGAGAAGAGAACTTTTTGAACTTTAATGAATTTATTTGTTAGATTCGTAAAACCATCAGTAATTTCTAAAGAAAATGAAGATGTTACTCTAACGTCTATTCCATTTCAGAAGTATAGTAAACAAAAAGAAAATGAAAATTTAGTGATTGGTGCGGAAACAAGACTATATTTAAAAAATGCCAAGTTGAATGAAAGTGAAGTGAAATCATTTTTCAATTCTGTGCGAGCTTTTTTTGTAACTGCATGTTCATATATAATTGATAAATTTCCACTGAGTGATCCATTTCTAAAACATGCTGAAGTTGCTGACATCAACTTGAGAACTGAAGTCTCATTTTCATCTGTTCTTTACTTGATGAATACTTTTCCATCCATTATTGATGAAAAATGTCTTAATCAAGTAGAAATTGAATTTTCCATGTATCAAGTAGATGATTTGAAAGAAATTGTAGATTTGCGTATTGATATAGCATGGGAGAAATTGCCAAATTAAAAAATATGAATGGGTTTATTAAATACAAAGTATTGCCTTCTGTAATGCTTGCTGTCTTAATAATACCTCATTCAAATGCAGCTTGCGAAAGAATTTTTTCTATTGTTAAAAAAAAATCAGACGGAATTTCGACCAAATTTAGGTCTTAAAACTCTTGAAGCAGTTTTGATTGAAAAAATAAATATGCAGGCAAATGAAGAACTGTGTTATAAAGAAAACATTCTCAAAATCAGAACTTAAGCTTGCTAAGCATGCTACATATAAATCTTTGCATTCATAAATTATGCGTATTTTGTTTAATACTTATATGTATCATTCTTGGTTATTTAAATTTTATTTCCCTGTAGAAATCATATCCAGAATAAAGATATGATTTTATGCTTCTGATTTTTTCTATGATTAGTAGTGATTTGAAGTACTTTTTATTAGTGAATGCTTGAGGAGTTAAAAGAAAATTTCTAATTAAATGTGCATATAATTTACAAGGTATATTTTTAATTATTCAGTTTTATATGTATATGGATTTTAAATGTAATAAAACTGATTACAATTAATTATTAATTTTAAATTAATGAATGGTTAATTACAGCACACGCTACGCGCACATTTTGAAAGTTGTAAAAATGTCGTTCGCGCGTTGACTACTGACAAGGTTTGCTGAAGGTTGGAGTCTATGTAAATGACCCACTCCTAAGGGAGGAGCGCCACACCATTGACAGGTTGACCTTACCGATTCCCAGTCTCGGCCATGCGTAATCATGTGCATTCTGGCAAGGTTATGCACCACTTTATGTTAAATCTAAGATTATTACAGTGTGGGAGTGAAATTTAGCTTGAGTTTGCAATTTATACTCAAAAGATTTTTCAACAGCTGCAAGAGAAAGAAGAGAGTTCTTTAAAAATTATACCCACTTTTAAATTCTTTCAGTTGAGATTTTTAATTATTGAAATTTATTTAAAATAATTTGTTACCAAGTTTCTTAAAATGTTATATACATGCAGTCAATTTCATTATCAGAATACTTGAATAATTGGTCACTCATTGAATCAAATATGTTTGGTCCCAACTAGTTCCTGTTTCATTTTCTTATAATGTATATTAGCTATTTCTTGTAATGTATAGCCAATTTTAATATGCTGACTCCACATTCAAATATGTAATGTGAACAAAACTATTTATTCTCTATCAGAAAAACAATTTTCTTTTTCACCAAATTTTTGTTCTCAATCTATAATTATATTCTATTCCTTTCCGTAGAAATTGTAACTTCATCACTGCCTTCCAAGTAGGGGAAGAAATCTACTTCACCTTATTCTTATCCAAATTCCTATTAGGGGTTTAATATGTTTTTGTTGGAGGAGGAAACTTGGTAACAGTGGAACTTCCAAGTGTGAAAACAGCAAAATTTCTCAAAAAGTACTAACAATAAAATTGTGTTGAAGAGTTTGATATCATAGAAAAGTTCATACCGTCTTCAGAAAACAACAATCAATTTCAAACATAAAATTATCAATAAATATTCTTATCCAATCTTATTAAGGGTTTAATATATTTTTGGTTGGAGAAGGAAACTTAGTACAGAAATCAAATACTAGTTTCAGGTATTTTTTATTGCAGGGCTAAATTTATTATACTATTGTTCCTTCATATAAATTTTTTTCAATGCTTAATAAGTATTATTATTTATTATTTTTATTTTACTGATTTGTACAGAAAAAAGGCTGTTCTTACAACTGCAGATAATATATAATTGTTTCCTGGTCCTAAAGGTGACCTCTTAACAAATTTAACCGTAAACAACTATGTATTAACAAGGGAAAAACTTACTAAGATTAATATTTATCTTAAGGTATGTTTTGATTCTAATGACAACTTTCTATTATTGAGCACAGGTTCATGTTATTACTTCAATTTTACTTCTTTGTATGAAGTAAAATGGAAGTATTGTGATCATGAAAAATTTTGGGTATCATATTTCAATGAAAATATCCATTTTTACTGCTATCGAATGCAATTTAATGATATTTTTGGGTGACATATATACGTAAGGACCAAATAAAAGACTCTTCCTCCCCCCCCCCCCCCCCACAAAATTATAACTGATTTAAAATGGATTCTGAAGATATTTTTTCCGTGGCATCTGTATGTACGTATGTATATATCTTGCATAACTCAAAAACGAGTAGCCTCAGAAAGTTGAAATTTTGTATATAGGACTGCTATAAAATGTAGATGTGTACCTCTTATTTTAGTTGCAATTCGCCGCACCATAAATATATAAATATATGTGTACATCCACTCTGTTACTCGGCTCAGTGAGTTCAGTTTCTTTATTCTTATATGTTTGTAAATTGTGCATTTTTTGCTTTAATAATGATTGAATTATGTTGCTCTTATCTCACAGTTCTTAAGTTATACCTTCTGACTTATTAACAGTTTAAAAGTTGTTTAAGTGCGGCTAAGCCTAATTTTTTGTGCCATGGCAGCCATATTTGTTTACATTTGAAACTTAGCAAAATAGGGGATTTATTGCCAATCTAGAGGAACTAAGGTTTGCAACAACAAAAAAAGTCTTCTTTTATTATTGTGAATTAAATCATGCTTATCCATTCCGGAACTATCATTAAATTATCTCATACACTCGACTCAGCATAGCATCCACATCAAATTAAGTCAGTTTCTACACCTTCAGTGTCTTTTTGCTGAGTGAGACCAAAAGTAAACTTAGTTTTGTGCACCACAAAATCTGTCTTCTTACCCACTGGCTGAATTGCTTGCTTTAGCATAGAAACTTTAATTTTAATTGTAATTTTTTTTTTTTAATTTTTTAACTGAATTTGATGTTTTATGTTTTTCTATATCTTTAAAGTTTTATGAAGATATGTGCTATTATTATTTTTGCCTTGCACAAAGTGAGAACTGAATTAAATAATTGAGAAATAAATCTCTAATGAAATTCGAGGAAATAAGTGTTTCATAATAGCAGAAAATACTGTTGCCACTATGTTTTAGACAGAGAAGAATGTTTATGAGGAGCACAAGTACATTAGGTAAGCAGCGCTGAATCGTCTATGAAAACGTGTTTATTTTTTATTTAATTTCTTTTATACTTCATTTTAGACATCTTATACAGTCGAAAGTCTTTAATCTGGATTTGTCGGGACTTAGACTATTCTGGATTATAGATCATCAGTTTAAATCTGGTAAGATGGCATGCAGAAATTATAAAATTAAAAATATGAAACCGTAATTTATGAAATAAAGAGCAATTATGATCTAAAGGGTATCAAAATTAAAAAAAAAAAAAAAAAGCTTAATATTTATTTGTTTACTTTATTAAACATTTCTTTCAATGCGCGTTATCATGACGAGGAATATATATATATGTAATAATAATTTAATTAAATGTATCTAATACACCTTATTCATCTTGCACTTTTAGTCAGAATATTATGCTTTATCTTTTCTGTCTTGAAATCCACAAAATCCTTGTAACCTCTAGTCCCAAGCTTTGCGGATTTCTGGAATTCTACTGTATCTCTTTTTTTTTTTTTTTAATTAAACTTACTTAATTCCTTCTTCCAAAATTCGAAATTTAGGTTCATTCTAAATAAAATTTGTCCATTTTTTTAAATATGTATATATTTTTTAATTTATCTAAATTTTTCGAAACAAATTTTGAATTATAACCTATAAAATTTTTACCATCATCTTAAAGTAGATGTATTTTTAAGCATACATGCAAAAAATTAAGTTTTTTTATTTAAAATTTCCCAAGATCTACGTGAATTTACATGTTGGCGCGTTTTATTATTGCTTGTAACAAATATGCCAAATTTCAACACTAGTGTAATTTACACACTGCCAAAATTATTTGAAATAATGAACAATGACTTTTTTTTCTCTGCTGTTTTACAATGAGCAAAAAGAAAGTCAAATAGGTTGCTATAAATTAAGAAATATGCAAGTGAATTATTTTTGGCGCAAACTGAAAAAAATGCACCAAGATTTTTTATTTTTCCGTAAATTTCGCACCAAAATTGAATACTTACATATAATTTGAATCGTAGAATCAAAATATGGAGAAAAAAATGGCATGTCGTTTAAGAAAAAGTCAGATTTTGTGTCAAAATACCTATATTAAAACAGTGCTGCATACAAATCTAATAGATATCCTAAGTATCACTTTCGAGACATGAAAAACGCAATTTGAATTTTGTCAGTCGGCCCAGTAGAACGGGAGAAATGGAAGTGTCCCCCCCTTTTTTTTTAGGGCACAGCATACGCACTTATGTTGCATAACTCAAAAACGAGTAGATGTAGAATGTATATGAGACTGGTTACAATATGTAGCTTTGCCCATTCCCTTTTCGTTGCAATGGGCAGCATATATACTATATTTACACATTCAGTTTTTTATTTCTACATGTTGGTATTGTTCATTTTCTTTTTAAAAAGGAGACTGAATTAGGCTGTTCTTATGTTTCCGTTAAGATTTTTATGCCTTTCAGTTAATCTAAATGCAATAGTTGTAGAATTATCAACAATTTAATAGTGCTGAGACTAACGATTTATTTACATTTGAAACTCAGCAGACTACTGAATTAAGTCAATCTTTTTGCCGAGAGCCACCAAAAGCTTGTTTTTCCGTAGAAACTGTATTTGTTGTTTAAGGATTTTCTAATTTTTAATGAACATAGTTTTTATGTATTTCTGCTTTGTCATAAAGTCAGAACTGAAATGATCTAATCAAATTCAAGCAAATAATTTTAAATGAAGTGTAGCAAAAAATGTTTATTTTTTAATAAGCCATACAAGAAAGTCGTGGTGTCCACATCAGATATTTTTATAATTTCCTTCACTGTTTAAGAGAAGTTTCTTTTTAAATCTGATAAACTGACTCTAAGGAAATGTGCCCTTTTCAAAGTTTATTACTATTGACTAAATTATTTAATTAACACTAAGGATTATTTTTATAAAATATTCTTTCTGCTTTAAATATTTAAATTTGTTAGTGGCTAAATGTTTACCTGATTTCATTAGGAATTAGAATTTATGAAAAATCTGGCATCATTATAAGAACAAAGATTTTTAATAAAATATAAATTTTGAATTTTATGTGTTATTTTATATCTTTAATGTTACCAATACTGAATCACATACGAGAGAATACTTGTGATTTTATTTTAAAGTGTACTTTCAAGTTATTACATAAAAAAATACTTTAAACAAGCACAAACGTTAAAATTTCTATTCCTCACCAATAATGGATGGGGGAGTAAGAGTTTTCTGCAATTTTTATTAACAGATTTTCATTTTTTAAAAATAGATATAGCCTTTTCACTTTTCATATAAGAGAAAAATTATTAAGAATGATGCTGTTTTCATTTGATGCAATTTTGAGAATGTTGTATCAAGGAATCCTACCAAAGTGAAATAATTGTTTAGAAGAATGAACTGGTCTGCTTCCCTGTTGGCATGGTGGTAAGGAAGCTGGTTGCCATAGCTTTGGACCCTAATTCAAACCATGAAGATAGTACGGCGGTTTCTAAATTCATCTGAAACGCCTCTGGAAAGATTAGTGGAAGGGGAAACCCTCAATTTATTGCTCCCTGTGGATCATTAAAAACTGGGATGGAGCTGGATAAATTCATATTGTCAGCTGTCATGTGCTCAAAGCCTAAGCTGATGACAAACGCATCCCTTACTTCTTAGCTATGAAAAAATTCAGACTCGATGTTACTGTCAGATAAGTGGCATGAAATGATCTGTTGCAAAGTTATACATCTAGTTTCATTAGCATGCAACCCAATCATGAAGAGTGTCATAAAACTCATGGAAAATCATCCTTATAATGGCATGCTTTTTGAATTCTCTAAGGCCAAAAATATAACAACAAATGCCAGAAACAATTATACTACACAGATTTAAACAATTATACATACATCAGATGACGAGCTGTTTCACTCAGCTACTAAAGTAAAATTATCATCAGACTATGACACATTAAGGCAACTGCAATTATTATAATCTACCAGAATACCTTAAATAAACTGGCAACATCTATAAACAAGACATTTCAGCATCATATAAACTATCATGTGACCACAAAATCTCAGCATTTATCCAGTTACATTTCCTTGCTCAACAGCAAGGGAGAAATAACAATTCTTCACCAAATTCGGAATAAAAATGAGAAATGGATTCTATACATAATTACAAATGCAAAAAACAAGGTCAAATGCCATTAGCAAAAGTAAGTTAGCATTCCACCTCCTAAAGAGGTTTGCTGTGCATTTGTTTGAATACTGTAAGCATAATTCATTTCAAGGTATTGAAACCTGGTCCGATTATGACTGGAAACTTCTACTGTCAAACCTTTAATCAGATGAATCAAGTTCTTCAAATTAAACATCACATGCCAGTCTAAAAAAAAATTTAAATGATTTTTCACTGCATTGAGCATTTGATTTTAAAAGTGTTATTTGTAATGATAGCGATTATGTAGATGATTAAGAAATTAAATATTTTCTGCATTGCCATCCCAAAATGACACCAATTACCTAATATTAGTTCTGCAATTTTTCAGAAAAAACAAAGCTTCTTAAATGGAATAAAATATATAAACTAATTTTAAAGTGATGCTTTTCCTACATTTGACTTGTTACATTCACTTAAACTGTACATGTGAGTGAAGAGAATATATAAATAACAGGAAAGGTCAGATTTTCAAGAATTTTTGTAATGAAAATTAATATGACATGCAATTAAAAGGAGGTTTTTAGATAAAAGCAAACAACTCACCCACATTAGTATTTTAATGTTAAATATAATATGTTCAGTAATAATTATTATACCCAATAATAATTAGTATATCAGTAATAATTATTATATATGACAGTAATTATTACATAATAAATTTTTTCATCATCATAATACATATTGATTCAAATAGCTGAAGTTTCATGCATATACAGCTAGAAAAAGTTGAAAACATTTTATCATGCATTTACTTAGGCACTGTTAATTAGTTATAGAAGTAATTTATTAATGAAAGTAAGAAAAACATAACAATTTTAATTACTTAAACATTCACTTGCAAAAATTAAAAACACTGAATTATCATGCTAGGTAATTCCCCTGCCCCCCCCCAAAAATTGTACACATAAAAGTTTTGTTTTTACTATCACAACACATTAAAAGGAAATGTATGAAGTTGAAAATGGTACAATTATTGCAATTGTATTGCATAGATTAATTGGCTCCCACAATACAATAAGAGTACTTAAACTATACATAGTATATACTCAAATACAGCAATACATTATAAATGTTTCACTAGACAATTTTTATAAAAATTATAAAAAATATATGCAAATGATAACTGAATAATTTTTTTCTGTTAAGATATTTTTGTGCTTAATGATAAAATGATGCATCCATTTCTTACTACTATCTGATAAGAAAAAAGTTCTTTAACATTTGTGCAATGCATGTAATCTATATTTTCAGTGTACAAAAAGATGATGGTTTCCATAAAATGTTGAGTATATTATACAGCATTCAAATAAATTGAGATAAAAGAAAAAAAAATCATACTATATATTTGAAATATATATCTATAATCTGTAGCAGTCTAGCTATGAGGAGAAAAGTCAACATTTAAAAAAATAAGCAACCAATATTTTAAATTCAGGAGTAAATAGAAATAATTTACATCTTTTTCCCAGAGCTTGTAAAAACAGACTTTGGAAAAATATGAATTAATATCTCCTAGATGACTGTCTGAAAATTTATTCCTTATATATATATAAAACTAAGAGAAATGACTGTTTTAATTTAACCACATTCAGTTGAGTTTTAAACTAATTGTAAATAATTCCCCATATCCCAAAATACCAATGAAATTCTAAACCAGATATGTTTATTTAAATTTTTGCAAATTATTCTTTCCAGAGCTAAACATTTTTATGATATACATTAACAATACAATATATTTCTAAAATATAAAACACAAAGAAACAAACAGTCTTATTATGTACAAAATATAAATGTTTGTCAGATCAATACATAATATATATTACAAGAAATATTCAGATAATATGCAGTTTCTTAAATGACTTCATGACATCTATAAAAAATCTACTTTTTAATTTAATTAGATCATACATAACAAACATTTAAACATTATGTATACATACATATGTATTAAAGCATTTTATATACATGCATACATACACACACTCATACATATCAGAATTTCTATATGATGAAATTCAATTAATGAATTGTTTTGTGCGAACTTAGAACAAAATTATGTATAGAATAAATTCATTCCATACAGTGAATGATTATTTTATCTCAAGAATCTATAATTACAATAAATTTAGGGAAACTGCATGAGGTTTTTGTTTATCATTAACATTAGAACTCGTAATGATTAACCTACATTAAAAATATTTTTACTGATGGCGAAAATGAGTTATTTTTTACCATTTGATAGAACTAAATTTGATAATTTCACAATAGGTTTTTTAATGTTAGGATGCAAGACAAGAATGCTACTTAAGCAGAAAATTCCCAAACCGATTTATTTAGACGTATCTTTGTCAAAACTTTTTTCTATGTGAACATCATCTGACATATTTTCCCTTAAAAAAGTAAGTAATAAATACATGAGAGCTAATTAAAAATAAATCTCTGTATTTCAAAATAAAACTTTGGACGTTTTCTGCTTATAGAATGTAGGCTGGCATTTAACAATTCTTGGTTCACTAATCGAAGTTCACCTTTAGTTACAAGGAAGTGTATTTAACATATAATTCATTTATTTATTATTAGATTTCAAAATAATGTTCAGTTGAATTTCATAATAATTTAACAAAATTATTTTGATCACACAGTATAAAATAATACTTAGCAAAGTTCATATAATTAACTATAGGACTAAAAACACTGATAAGATGAAATGCTTGACAAAAAAAACTAAAGTTTTAAAATCTCAAAAATCAATTAAAATATTTATATAGTAAATAAAACTTCGGAATTTAGATATTACATAGCAGCAGAAGAAGATATAACTGCCATAAAAATCTTGCGTAAATTTCAATTTTATACAATATCAATTATTTGTTTGATGCTATATCACTTTTCTGCTTCATTTTAGTGAAAATATGCATAAAATAGTTAAAATACATAGAAAAGATTTCAAACATTATTAATAATTTTACACTAAAATCTACAAATTTTTAAACTATTGTTTTATATACATTTTTAGGAATATCAAAAGAAAAGATATTTCAATTAAAATTATAAGTATGATACCAAAAATATAGCATCTTTCAAAGGCAAATTCATTTAATTAAACTCTAGTAATAATATTCCTTGAGTTACTCAGCTATCGTAATAAAAAAAAAAGCACATGATTATGAGTAAACTTGCTGAATAACATAATCCACATACAATGACAATGGCTATGAAAAATTTGAGAGCTTTCTTCTAACCAATGCCTATACTGTCAATAATAATGTATTTAATTCCACAGACTTACAAAAACCAAAAATTTGTTTTAAAGTTAAAATAACAGACACTTAAAATTTACAATTAAAAGCTTAAAATATATACCAACAAGTAATTTACATACTATTTCAACATATAGCACAAAACAAGCTCTAAAGGAGTCTGAGTATTAACATTTATGAAAATTCACACAAAATGAGCACAGTGTGATCTAACATAAAGATACTGAGCAATATTTATAGAAAATATGCAGCACCTTACAACTATTATGCATTCCAAGTCATAAAAGAGATTTCTTTTAAGTCATTTAAAATGATACTAAGAAGGTTGTATATTCAAATGACAACATGACAAAATATATTTTATAAAAAACATACTTCCAAATATATTACACCTTAAAAGAAAAATTATTTTTATTTTAAACAACTCTTCATTTCTATTTTTCTTGTTCAATTTCTATAAAGTCTTCTTTTGCAAAAGGAAAAATTTTAACCCTCTGAACTGCAGTATATTTTACAGTGTTTAGTTTGTGCAGTGTTGTGCCATTTCTTGCTTAGATTTGTAAGATAATTTATTTTCATAACCTATAGATTGTAAAAATTATTTCTAGATCATTAAATATAATAAGACAGTAAAATATTTAAAGGAATAAGATAATGCTCGTCAGTGGAAAAGTTTTTAAAACTACATAAAAGTGGCCACATAGCTTAGGGGATTAATTCTTAGGTTCCTAATGACAAAAACCATTTTCTATTACTGAGAAATTTCCTCCCAAAGGGCAATGTGAATGACAAGAATGAGTACACAACATATAAAATTATAGAATTCTAATCTTACAAATATGCAGACAAAATATTAACTGCAAAATATATTAATGTAAATAGTTCAAAATTTTATGAAATAGGTATTCATATGTACAGCCTTAATGCTGAAACTTTTACATACAAACTCTCTATATATTACTATTTCATGAGTAAAAACGTAACTGTGAATTCATATTTTGCTCAAATCAGCAATAAGGTACGTGAAATCTTGCTTATTACTGAACCCTGGAGTTAAAAACACACAAAACTATTTAGTACATGTAAATTAGCATACAACTCTACTTTTAATGCATAAGTTTTAAAAATTGGGAAACGATTGCAGTGCACTGACTTTTGTAAATTAACTGATAAATATCTATATTTTATTTAGTTCTGATTGCAAATACACTAAAATTATCTGATGACACAATTAATATGAATTTAAGAAACAAAATGATGCTTATTAAGTATTCATTCATGATAACTTAAATAAATGCTTTGCAAGATAAAATGATTATTTAATATCAAAATAACATTATGATTTCATAATTATATGTATGAGATTTTACAGCATACACTTTATTGATTATACTAATATATTTATTTTAATTAGATTATCCATAATATCTCATTCAATACACTGTATATTCACACAAAAAGATTTATTTATTACTTTAAATGTTACCTACCAAAATTAGATCATGAAGAATTCTCAGATAATATGTTTATATTTTTATGCTTTGTGAAAATTTCAGTACAGTATTTTTTGTAATGTCAAATCAAGCTCCTAAATAATGGCCTATACTTATCAATAGTATAAAAAATGAGGCATTCCATAATGAACAAAGCTTTATCTATACGCTGGCCAAGCTTTCTATATGCTGCTGCAGAACACACGAAAACGATTTTTTATTTACAGTCATCCGAATGGCACTGATTGAGCTGAAAAGTTTTTCAGCATCAATATCCTCAGGCAACTTTGTAAGAAACTGTGCTAAATGAATAAAATCCATTTCTAATAGTATATCTTCATACATTCTTAGAATGCCTGAAATAAAGTAATAATGAATATATTAACAAAATAATACATAATAATAATAATAAACAGAAAAATTATGCATGCATAATTCTAAGAGCCTCAAATATAACAAATACAGAGCATTAGTTAGAATTAAAAACATTACACGTATTATATTTTTCAGATAGATAACAAAAACATTTTCTGACTGTCACCAAAAGTATTCATGTGATGAATCTATATTTTCTTGAATCCAAACCCTTCATGCAAGAACAAGAGAGAGGAAAAAGAATGTACTCTTACTTAATAATAAAAACTTTTAATTAAAGCAAAATTCAAATTTGCATTTAATGAAAAACCAATGTAAAAATATACTTTTTAAAAACTCATCCATATCACTTAAGAAGATACAAAGAAATTTAATATATAAAGTGCATAATTAAAACTCTTAATAATAATTATAATTAAACTTGAATTTTAAGGTTTATTTCCTCGACATAATTTGATAAAAAATAGGTACTCTTCAGTTATCAGGACTGGATTGAGAAATGTATGTATGTATGCATATATGGAATGATGAATGTGTTCATGTATATATATGTATTATTATGAATTTTGTATTTGAATAGCTAATATTAGTAGAATTATAATTAAAACTATTTTATTTCCCTGTGCAATGCAGCACGAGCCGAGCTTTAAGAGAAAGCTACGCCAGAAAAGTAAAAATACAGGAGCATGTGCATTTAACATTGAATAAAAGTTTATCTCGATAATTTATATTTAATTTAAATAAACGTAATTGACTACTATGTTAGCTGTAACCGTAATTCTACTCTTTTGCTTTCCAGAAATCTCGAGAAGCAGAAATTTCTCGCGACTGATTTAAAGCTATAAAAAGGCAGACAGAGAACATCTCAGCTCAGTTGTTTAATTAGCTGCCGTTGTTATTTTTTGTAAATTCAGCATGAGATCGGATTATCTTTCTCTTTGCACCATACTGTATTCTAATGTTTTACTGGATATATTACATGATATATTGAACACTTGTACGAATATCTCTGGGAAAATTCCAGCATTCTGTTATATTTCTTTTACTAAGAATGAATTTTATTAAACTTGTGTATTCAATCTATTACGAACCCATACACACGCAACAGTATGTACGTACTATGCATATGTGTGTCTATACAAATGTGCATACATACATACACATGTGCAAATATACACACATTTCTGAACTTGTTCCCAATAACAGAAGAGTACCATAAAATATTTAAGTAACAGTTTAAAATTCGACTACTTCGACAAGTTCAACGGTGGACAACTGGAGTCTTGAGCATGATGTAGTGTTTATATACCATCTGTATGAGCTACTAGAAAAATCTATCACCTACCCATAGTAAGTTATCTTCCAAAACTTTCTTACAGTATAAGATATAGTTTATAGTTTTGAATATAGTATAGTTTATAGTTTTGAATATTTTCAAGAAAGTGCAGTGTACAAAGTATTTAGAAGTTCCAAAAGATTTCATTAAATAGCATACTGAAAGAGTTTTAACTCTCAAGGACACTGGGATCTAGGTATTACGGAAACTGCAAAGCCATATTCTTTTTTTAATGCATATTTCTGCTGGTCATCAATAAAACTATCCTGTTAAAATTCTGAGTCAAAATGATTAATAGTTTTTTTAGGTTAGAATCTGAGACATTTCAATGATCCAAAAGTGCAAATGAATCTTTTTTAAAATTGACAATTCTGAACATCCCATTCCTACTTAAATGCACAGGTCTGATGTTTACTTTGGAACAGCTTCATGACTCTAGCAATAGCAGCATCTTTTTTTTTTCCCCCCCCCATCAGTCAAAGTTTAAACTTATTAACAACACTTGTCTCAGTTCACCTTAGTAATATACATGTTTTGTCTGATCAGCTATTATGCAGTGAAATTATCACTTTATTTCATAAGACCAGTTCCTATAAAAGGATTTGTAACTGAATTCCAAAAATGCACAGTCATTTCTCCATCTGGTTACAGCCTCATGGAGAAGATGAAAATTCAGCATTAATGTATATACTATATCTGGTGTACAGACATCTGTGCACAATTACAAGACTGATTTTGCAAGTTGCTAGAAGTTTAAGCAATTTATCATCATTTTAATAAAAGATATTCAGAACTCCCTTGACTCCATATTAACTTTTCTAAGAATGGAAAATAGATCAATTTAAGGTTGATATTTAAATTAGGTTACGTGAATCAAGAATACGATGGAAAAAGGTAATTATACACTCTATAACAAAAAAGAAAAAGACGCACCAAGAAGGAATTATACAATTGCTTTGAAATTTTGTATGCATAAATGTTTTCACCAAATATGCAAATGATTAAAATTTGGTGTCCAGTGAATGAATGGTGCGATCTCCAATGCATCGGAACTGCACATCCAGCAGATGTAGTATATAAGGAGCTGTTCTTGAACTGTTGTTAAAAATTTCTGTTGCATTGTGATTTAGGATACCTTTCAAAAACTGAAAAAATCTCTCGCTGCAGGATTCAAGCTCATTATGAGCAACTGTCAGAGTTTGAAAGAGGTCGTATCATTGGATTTAATATTGAAATTGTCATATCACCGATTGAAAGAGGCAGGTTGGGCAAATCGTCATGCGAGTTAAAGCGATTAGAAGATGCTGGCAAGAATGACTGGACAATGGCAGATTTCAATGCCATGATGGTAGCGGTCGACCTAGGGCCACAACAGATCGGGAGGACAGAGTAAGGGTCAGATCAGCTGTCACAGTGCCTGATTCATTGCTATCAACCATCAGACATATGACGTGCACACGAGTGTCCACCATGACCATTCACAGACAGGGTGCTTGGCTCGATCAGGTTGGAATGATGCTGAATGGGGATGTATAGTCTTTAGCGACGAATCCCGCTTCCAAAAGTGTCATGACAATCATCAAAGACATGTCAGGAGATGCTCAGAGCAGCATGCCGATCCTGCTTTCGCTACTACTACTGCACGCCACACAGGCCCTCAACCAGGAGTTATAGTCTGGGGTGGCATTTCCCTTGATAGCTAGATCCCTTTAGTCGTCATTAGAGGCACAGTGGTATGTTGATGACATTCTGAGATCTGTTCTGCTACAGTTCCTTTTACAGTACCCTGGCCTTATTTTTCAGCGAGATAATGCCAGACCACATATGGCACATGTTGCTGTGAACTGTTTTACAGCTTGTTAAACACTTCCTTGGCCAGCCAGATCTCTCTCCCATCGAGCATATGTCTGATATGATGGGAAGGCGACTGCACCTACCAGGAAATGTTGGTGACCTAGCCCGACAATTGGAGCAAATTTGACAAGAAATACCACAGGAGACCAACCAAGAGTTTTATCAGTCTATGTCACGCCATGTGGCAGTTTGCATCACGTCGTACACCTTATTGAGCTCATTACTTTGTAACTACGTAACTCTGAAATAAATTATTTGTTCTGAAATTTTAATCATTTTCTATTCTGTGCATAATTTTCCTATTCACCAGTGTTTTGTTACCATCGGACAACTCCATCTTGGTGCATCATTTTTTTTTTTTTTTAATAGAGTGCATTTTAAGTAAAAGGAAAGTTTTACAAACTATTTATTTTTACCATCAAGAACAGACATACCTAAGGCAGTTTTAACTAAAAATTCTTCTCCATCCCTGAGATAAACATCCCACACTCTACAAGCAACATCCAGTGGTAAAGATTTACTGTACAAAGTATAAAGCCTAGGAAAAGTTTAAAAATAAATAAATGAAAAGTTAAGACATCTTAAAAATGACATTTTATTATTATTATTATTATTTATTTATTTATTTTTTTTTATAGAATTGCATATCAGTTAAGCCAAAAAGAACCATCCTGTTACTATTACAAATGATGACAGACAGAAAACACTTTAAATTGGCACATATTTACCTGTGATACACCAAATCAAATTTTAACTAACCTAATTTCTTATTAGACATTCTACATAGTCTACACAAAATCCTTTTGTTAAATAATGAATAGTCTATGGTCTATATCAAACCCACATTGTAGCATATCTGGAGAGATGGCATGTGGATAACGCAGATTTTGAGTTCATTAAGTTTGCATGGCAATGGAAGCACAAAAACAATATCTTCAATCTTTAACATACAACTCTTCCCACCAAAAAGAAACATTAAGTAAACTTAAAGGCCAGGTGAGCATTTGTATTTGCTCTACACCAGGGGTCCCCAACCTTTTTGTCCTTAAGAGCACATTCTACAATATCTGTTGGACGGTTGGCACCATTTACTTTTTCAAAATGAATTTATAGTTGAATAGAATTACTTACTTAGATTTTGATGCACACACACAAAAAAGACATTGGTTGCATTTTGCTTTGTGCTGATATCTGTGTTGGATGCAATTTCTATTTCATAAAAAATGAGAAAACTTTTACATGGAATTTTATTGAAATCTAAAACATTTTTATTTTGATCGCACAGTGGTGGGCACATGTTAAATGATCAGCGGGTGCCATGGCATAGGGATGCAGGCATAGGGTTGGGAACTCCTGATGTACACAGTAGATGTGTGTTGTGACAAAAGTATCTCACACAGAGCATCTTGCAAGAGAAACATAGACAGCCAAAGTTTAGTTTGATATATCAGAGGTAAATATGTGCTAACTTTAAGAGAATGACTATTTTTCACTTACTGATATACACATAAGCATTACCTTGTAAAGCATAATTATTCAACAAAAAATATGACAACTATATTTATCCAATATATAAATGCCTTCTAATAAAAGCCATATATATGAGGATTTGTATTTTAACATTCCCAACAACAAATTTTTAACATTTTTTTTTAAACTCTCAAATCTATATAAATTAAGCCATGACTTGTCAAAGCAGCCCATGCCATAAGAGCTCCAGTGGAAGACCTCAAGACTAAGTAGCCCCAATAAAACAGCTTTCAAGAGTAAATAATTATTTTTTAATAATACAAGAGAATATTAACAGCTTTTATACAACATTAGATTAATGCCAGTTAATATAAAAGGGAAAATAATTACTACTACAAGTAATAAGTCACAACAGTCCATGCCAGGTGTAGTAAAATAATTCTCTTTGGATACATAATAGATTATATACCTAAGATAATTACTTTAATTATTTTGATTAAAAAGTGTCATTGGTTTATACCACTAAGAAACAAAACTGAAATAACATATTATCAGAAGGGCTAAGGCAGCAAGAATCAGCATATTATTAAAAAAATTGCAGGGTTAGTTTTGAAGGTTAACCTTTAAACTAATCTTGCAAAATTATGAATGTCATACTGATTCTTGGTGCCCTAAAACCTCCAATATCTGTCATTCAGCATGTTGCTTTAACTCAGATTTGAAGCAACATATGTTTGCATATTTCAGAAGCTGTTACAGCTGATGGAAACTTTGCATTCATCTAGTATATTAAATGAATACAACAAATGCAATTCAAAACATTGTGTTAGAAGTTTTTAATGACACAAAAGTTGCCAGCTGTTTGTTTCATTTGGAGCAGTCTTCATGGAGAAAAGAGTAAGATCTCAATCGATCAATTGAACCTAACAGAACTTTATATAAATAAAGAAAATATGCATGTTCGCAATAAAATGTTGTCAGCACTTTGGCCACAACATGATGTTATAGGAATATTTGAAGAATTAGTTCAGAACTTCCCAGATGGACTACAGTCTATTATTGGTTACTAAGACGATACATATATGAATAAGACACAATCACTGAGCACAACCACAATTTAGATTACATATATGGAATGTTCATGAGTGCATCCCCTGTAGTCTTCTGAGGATAAACAATTTGGTTAGAAGGGTGGCATGGGGCATTCCAGCAAACTGTCGATTGCCATCACAGATCCATCTACAAACTCATCTAATATCAAAAAGTAGGATGTGGTGGAAATTCGTGTAACCACCTTTGCTACAAGTAAATGGTAATTGAAAGGGGTACAACCTCCAGCCTACCTAACCGAAACTATGTTCAGCCATAAGGCTCACAAGGGCTTACCCAGTCAGGTATTTGTAACCTTGCTGCAGGTATTCGTAACCCAGATGCAAGCAAAACTAAATATGTGCAACTTATTTGATGCCTGGAAGCATTAGTAGAAAAGTATGCTAATGAGGAACATATGGATTTTCTTAAATCTTAAAATATAATCATTATCTTAAAATGTAAATTTTGTATATTAATATATTGTACAGGCAAACCTCTATTTAGTGAACATTCTACTTTACACGGATTTAAGTTTTTTGTGGGATTTTGCCAGACGTGTGAATTTCTTGCATAAAAAAACTCAAAATAATGAAGTACACACTCTATTTAAAAAAGATTTTGAATGAATATTTTTTCAAAATTTTTCTTTCTAATTTAAAACTGTTTATTCATTTGCTGTGACAAGTATGTGTGTGCAACTGTGGTCCTAAAAAAAGCATACGGCTCATTACCTTTTGTCCCATTCCATTCTGCATGATGTTAAAAAGGGGGGGGGAAGGAGATTCATGAATAATAAAGCATTTACCCATCCTGTTGTTAAAAATTTCCCAACTAATACTCTTTTGCAAACCAGTTTAAGCTTAAGCAACAACTTTACATTATTCATATTTCAACTTTTTTTTTTTTTTTTTTATACTGCATATCTTTTTTAAAGTTAGTTGTTTACTAAATCATAAAAATGTCAAAACGAAAGTATCTAACACCTACAGGAAAAATACAGATTCTCAACAAAGTGGACAAAGGGTGTGAAGAAGAAAGACATTGCCATAAAATTTGGTATTTTGCAAAACAAGTTAATGATAAACCATAAAAATTGGGGTACAATTTTGCCAAGCTTTGATTTCATTGATCCAAGCTCCAAACATAAGAAAATGTCCATTTTTAAAGATACTGGTAAAGCAGCATAAAAATGGCAGCAGACAGTTAAGAGAAAAAAGTGTACCAATATCAGGAACAATGATGTTGAAAAAGGTTATGGAGTTTACCAAACCTATAGGACAAAGTGAATTTCATTCAAACAATGGATGGCTGGGGGAAAAAAAAAAAAAAAAAAAAAAAAAAAACGAAATGGAGTAGTTGCAAAAATCACATATGGTAAAAGCAAAGATGTTAATGAAGATGAATGAGTCACATGAAAAGATTGAAAACTAAAGGAAATCAATGAAATTTACAAAGCAAAAGGTATCTTCGATGCTGATTACTGGCTTACTTTATTAACACATTAAAGGCGGGGGATCTTGACGAAAATATGCTAGGTAACGCAGCGACCGCTTCGCCTCGTACGTCCTAGAGCGGGCGATATTTTGTGTAATCATAAAAAAATTTAGACTTAAAAAAGTTTATTTAAACTCTTAAATACAAGAAATATTAAAAAGAACTAAACACTAAATTACAAAAAATGTTTTAAAATACATATTTATGAGAAGAATCTAGTATTTTTTATGAGTGTGATAATGTTGATAACACTCGCCACGGTGAAGAGGTGCATTGCAAAACTCGCATTTGAAGCAAATCAACTTTCTTTTTTTTTATGTGCCGCACAAACTATGCAGTTTCGTTGGGCATATAGCTTTTTGCCTTTATTTTCTATCCGAATTAATTTGGCTTTTTGATGTCTAGCGAAAGACGTCTAGGCGGACCAATTTTATATCGTGGAGTCCGTGGTGTCAAGTTTGACGTACCAGGTTGCGGCTTTTCAATGTCCATCAAATCGTCTGCATATATATCTTTATTTTCACATGAAACCATATTGAAGGATTTCAAAATTTATTGTAAGTAGAATTTGAACAAACAGCTTCAAACCACAAAACATACTAAATACAAATGTAAAGTGGTGCATGGATTGTGCAATGTGGTTGCAAACCACATTGCGCAATCCATGCGCTAGCTACAGTCGAGATAAATGTGCAAGCTACAGTTGAGATAAATCGTAGTACTACGACTCCCGCCTTTAAGCTACAGTCGAGATAAATCGTAGTACTACGACTCCCGCCTTTAAGCTACAGTCGAGAGAAATTGTAATACTACGACTCTCTCCTTATTGTGTTAACATTTACCACAAAGAAAATTAATTTTTTTAAAAAAAAATATTTTAGAGGTAAGCACAGCAAAGATACAGTTACTGTACTGCTATGTGTAAATATGAACAAATCTGAAAGGGAATGAAAAATTGAAACCTTTACTTAGAAGAAAGGGTAAAAACCCAAAATGTTTTAGGGTTATTAAATCACAGGAAGTAGGTTATGATTTCAACAAGAACTGAATGACTTTTGAAATGTGGTTAAAAAATTTAGATAAGTATATGCCTGTATGGAAATGAAAAATTGCTCTAGTGATAAGACAACTGCAGTGCTCATCCTCATTATTGCAAAATAATTTTGAAAAAGGTACTGAGAGAAATTGAAAGTAATCAGCTGTTATGTGTAATAAGTTAACATGGTTGTATATCTGAACTTGCAAAAGTATGAAATTATGATGTGACTGAAAATGTTGGTTTCATCAGCAAAATTGATACTACTGAAAATAGTGGTATCAATGATGACAATGGGCAAAATGAAGAATAGAATAATATGTGGTTGCAATTGTAAAATGAAGGGCAATTAAAGAAAAATGAACAATTACAAGATTATTTATTTATAAATAACGACCTCAGGAATTCCTACTGAAGACGGTATATTGGAAAGCATAAAAAATAGCAGCCAGAGAGCATGAAAAAGACAGATAATGAAGAAGATTAAAATTTTAATGTTAATGAATGCACATAATCTTCACCAGAATATATGTTAAATGTGCTTGATATTTTATGACATGATTTTCCAGTTTGAAGAAAGTGTACTAAAAGATGTTTTCCAGGCATTACACAAATGTCAGAACTATAATGACATGCAGTTTTCCTCCCAAAAGTTTAAACAAACTAAAGCAGTGGTCGTCAACCCTTAGAACTTCACGGACCACTACATATATAATTTTATATTTGGCGAGCCACTAATATGAATTAAAAAAAAGATAAATACATTTATACAATAATAATCACCAAACTACACATATTTCGTTCACATTGAAAAATTACATGAAAAGCACAAAAATCTTATCTTCTTGTACAAAAAGCTTCACATTTCCAAATCATTGAAAAGGAACTTCACAAAAAGGAAGAACAAACCAGCAAACGCAAAGCAACATAAATAAACTGACAGTGTTATGCCACCAAATTTTAATTGTTGTAAACATAATAATCATTGCATACTCAGCAATGGCACCATTGATCAACAGTTAGACATAACAAAAACCGAAACTTCCAGTGATGGAATTATAAACAAGAATGCAGATGGTTCTCATAAAAATAAGTCATCAAGTTGCCTATTGACACCAAGAAAAACTGTTCTCTTAACGGCTACAATAGCATATGTTTGTAATTCAAAAGGAAAGAGAATTCCAGTTCATGCTAATATTGATAACAGCAGCACATCCATGGATGCCAACTCTCACTTTCAAATGTCGCGAGATACATCTGCAAAAGTAGTAGCTAAAATTTAAAAAAAAAAAAAGTATAATTCATATTCTATAATAGATTTTGTTAGTTGTTTTTTTTTAAACTGAATCTTCATAAAAACATAAATAATGTCAAAGTTTTTCTGCGAACCAGCAAAAAGTTATCATGGACCACTGGTTGGCGACCGCTGAACTAAAGTAACTGATTAATTGAAATGTAATTAAATGTAACTGATTAAATGAAATATACATGTAATTTTGCATTCATATTTCATTTTACTACTATTTTACATTTAAATTAAAAAAATTTCTCATACTAAGATGTTCTCTTGTTTTCTCATAATGTCCATTTTGCAAAGACCTTCATGGGATTCTGCAGCTTTGCTAAACAGAGGTTTGACTGCATATATATTTCTTAAAATATGTTTTTTAATAAACACGAAAACTATGCAATTGCAATCCATTGATATGGTTACTTACCAGTCAACTAAATAGAGATCAGGGCTTAAATTCTGTTTTGAAAATACATCTGAAAGCCTAGGAAGATTCTCCCTGAAATAGTCTTCATAAACTGAATAGTATGCAGTCATCTACATAAGAAAGATAACAGCAAATGTTCACATGAAGTATAGCAAGATACAAATACAAACAATTTTGAAAATTTTTCTCGAGTATGCTGGAATTTTACATGGAAATTTTTTTAACACAATTTTTATATAAATATCAGATTCTCTTTACATATGTTACTTTGACTTAATGGAGTTCATAAAGTACCTTAATAAATATCTGCCTACTTACATTTGAATATCAAAAAATATTTGTATTAAAAATTCTTAGATTTTTCATTTATAATAAAGATGCTATTTACAGTGAAATTTTTCAGAGCAGTTTTGACTAAAAAATACTAGATACTATTTCATGCTTTATAACAGAGCTGTCCAATCTTTTCATTAAGTAGAACTATATAAAAATTTTGCATGCAGCTTTCAGGATAAAAGTTACCATACACTTTATTATATATAATAAATGCAAAAACATCAGAAATTATGCATTATAAAGTTATGCACTTTTACATTATCTTATTTTGCACAGTAAATATATTAAAATTTAAACATTATAAAATTAGAGGCCAGAAATTAGTATGCCTAATGTATTACAAAATTATTTTTCTCGTTATTAGACCCAAAACTTAGTTATTGTAAGGCCTGGCATTCCAAATTTTGAAGTTAGAAATCCTATAGCACAGTTTTCCCTTTTGGCCATAACATGACATTATTATGTTTAGTAGTTTAAATCATCACAAATAAAATGCATATTTGACATTTTTTATTGAACAGTGCACAAAAAGTGTACAAAAGAAAGCAGGCAAAAATACATGCATACAAACTTGTAGAGTGCCTACAGAGCTTGTATAGTTCTAAAAAATAATTCAGGGTGGTAGAGATCTTTAACTACAACTTGTTTCTGTTAAGGGAAAAGAAGGATTCTGAGCAGGTAAAATATTGGGAAGCCCTTTTAAACTCATGGTCCTAGGCCTGAACAACATAGCTGATAATCAGGTGCCGAGTGAAATCATTTTTCTTTTATGGAAACCTAGTAGTTTGCAATAGTTGCTAGCTTATATACTACAAGAGGGAGGAATTACAAATATTGTTTTTCCAGAACTACGTGTGATAATAGCTTACAAGGCGTGACACACACACACACACACAGACAAAAAAAAAAAAAAAAAAGACACTGGTCCAATAAATTATTGTACTTACAGAATCAGTTCTCCATGACATTATCACCTTCAAAGTAGTCCGCCTCAGCATTCACACACTTCTACATTCGGTGCTGCCATTGCTGGTAACAGTTCTGAAACAAGGTTTTTGGAAGGCCCTTCAGGAGATTCTCCATTTTTGCCTGAATCTTTTCAACTAAGATAAAATGGCTTCCCTTTAAGCCTGATTTAGCTTAAAGGTTCAGGAAATAAATAAAAAAAAAAAAAAAAAAAGTCACATGGAGCCAAATCAGGTGAATATGGAGGATTCCTCATCACAGTAATGTTTTTGCTGGTCAGAAACTGCTTGACAGATAGGGCTGTGTGAGCGGGTGCATTGTCCTGGTGGAATAGCCATCCATCACTCCACAACTGTGACCTTTTTTCCCTAATTTTTTCACAAAGTGTTTTTAGTACTTCAGTGTAGTAGTGTTGATTAATAGTATGACCACTGGAAACCCACTCAATCATTACAAGTCCATTAATGTCGAAGAAGACAATTAACATGGCCATGAATTTTGATTTTGACATGCGTGGTTTGTCTCTTCTCCCTGAAAAACCACTTATGCCATTCAAACACACATACATGAGACAAAGTTTCATTTCCATAACATTTGAAATGTTTTCGTGGCTGCTTTCTTAAGTTTCACAAGAAACTTGATGTTGGTTCGATGTTCGGTTTTTTTTTATATTAGCCATTTTTTCAGAAGTTGCACATGTTCAACTTAATGGTGCAGTACTCCCAACTGATGTGATCAGTTAAGTCGAAACTGGCCGCATGGAAAGGGGAGATGTGTGGCATGACGTCACCAAAACAGTTCTTGTCAACTCCACTTTTATTTTCAAGCTACACACTTAGACTTTTTTTTTTGGCACACTTCATAAAAGCAACTCCCCCCCCACAACTTTTGAAGTTGTTTTCTGTATGGACGATTGTGTTAGAGATATATTATTTTCTCTACAGATGATTATAATTATAATATTTTATTTAAAAAAATATGGAATGAATAGTAAATTTTACTGATAAAATACCAAATAATTTGTGAAATGCTTTTTCAAGAACAGTTTATTATTGAATAGGTCTTCATGCAGGGTGTATCAGTACAGCATTGACAAACTTTCAGGAGAGATAGAGTAGTCCTAGACGATGGGAAATCACATAGCAATGCATAGTTGGAAACACGTTGCTAGCGCAGGAGTAACAACAAAAAACACAAGAAAGGAGGGACACAAACAGGGTAAGTATGATGCTTATTATGCTTAGTGCCAATGAAACCAAGGAATAAGAACAAAAACCGATGATCACCATCATCAAGGTGGTGTTCGAAATTACGATCCGGACCGTGATGCAGGAACTGTATCTTATGCATCTGCCATGCAATCTTTCATGCTCTGGAAAAGTGAGGCCTACTTCACGGTCCGAGGTTGTAATTTCGAACAGCTTTATTGATGATTGTTGTTTGTTTATGTTCTTATTTGTTGGTTTCTGCAGTACTGAACATAATAAAACACATTTTGTCTCACTGCTTGTGTCATCCCTATAGAGTCAGGAAAGCATTTCCGACCATGCACTAGTACATGATTTCCCATCGTCTAGGTGTACTCTTATCTCTCCAGAAAATTTGTCGCTGCTGTACTGATACACCTTGTATATGCAACTAATTTCAACCTGCCATAACTTTTTACATTTTCTTTGAAATATATCATGTAAGAACAGAAAAGTGTACTTAATAAAAATACAAATATAATTACCATTTTTTGTTCTATTCTAAAAAATGATAACTGGCACTGCCTGTTCAATAAATTGCAGAAGCATATAAAAGAATCAACTGCATCCATATTCAATAACAACATGGCAGCTAAGAAAGACATGCCTTGAACCTGAAATATATGGCTTAAATTGAAAGTCGGGTATAAATGCAACTTAAAATAGTAATATGATACATGAAATACTAATAGTAATACCTAATTAAATATTAAGATTTTTCTAATGAAACTTTTTCAGACATTGCATACATTCATTACGTTCAATAGACCTATAAATATCAAGATTAACTGGGAACTACCCATGTGAACACTCAAAGCAGATAAATGTGTCACCTTTCTTCTGTTGTCCAGGCAAGCACTGGAATTTTATTTCTTGTACAGAGAAGATTAACCATTTTTATTTACTTTGTTTTAGAAAGGCAATACTTAGTGTGGCTCAGAAATGATTTAGTAAACAAAGAATAATTTTTAACAAAGTAATCCAGTAAAACTTTCTTTCGTGAACTTTAGTCATTTCTGAAGATAGTTTGACATTTGAAATATTCTTAAGCCAAAACAATTTTTCCCATAGGAATTAATGTAAAATGAAATAATCTGTTGCTGGATCTCAAATAATTGCTCAGAACACAGTACTTTGTATTCAGTTCATAATACAAAATCAGCGGAATTCCTTCAATCTAACACATACACAACATTTTAACTTATATATAATACGAGGGTTCTTTTTTTCTTCAAGGTCTGATTGGTCACAAAAGGAAAGTTCCTGGGAAAATTGTCTAGTGCAGTGTCTCTAGTTGGCCTGAGGAATGTCAATTCGCAATTGTCATTTCTGAGTACATAAGGAGCACATAAACATGCTTTGAAAAATAGTCTCCCACCAAATGTGAATTGCATTTAGTCATTTGATTTCTGCATGCTGAAGGAAGTAATGCAGCTGAAATTCATAGACAACTGAGTAAAGTATACAGAGAAACGTTCATGAGTGACAGCAAAGTGTGGAAATGGTGCAGGAACTTTGAATCTAGACACACAGATGTTCATGATGCAGGCATCCAGGAAAGGAAGCCAGTGTCAATCGATGATCTTGTTCAGCTCGTGGATCAGGCGGTTCACGAAAATCATCGGTTCACAATTTCTGGGTTGAGTGATTTGTTTTCTGAAATTTCACAGTCAGCTCTCTATAGAATTGCGAGTGAAAGACTCGAATACCGCAAACTTTGCCTGAGATGGATTCCCAAGATGCTGTCTGACCATCACAAAACTCAGCAAATGGGTGCCGCATTAATTTTCCTCCAGTGGTACTATCAGGATGGAGATGAGACATGGATGTATTATGCAACTGAAGAAACAAAAGAGCGATCGAAACAGTGGATGCATTCACACTCTCCAAGTCGTAAGCCAAAAAAGTTCCAAGCGCATGTTCTCCAAAAAGTATATGGCTACAGTGTTTTGGTACCAATAAGGTGTTCTCTTGGTGGAATTCATGCCCCGTGGCACAACCATCACTACAGCTTCGTACTGCATGAGTCTTGAACATCTTCGAAAGGCAATTCAGAAGAAGAGAAGAGAAATGCTGTTGTCAGGTATTGCCCTTATTCATGAAAATGCGCAGCCGCACACTGCAGGTGAAATAAGGATCCTCCTGCAGCGTTTTGGATGGGAAATTTGTGATCACCCATCATACAGTCCTGACTTGGCTCCCTCATCTCTTTGCCCACACGAAACACTGGCTAAGAGGACAGCATTTTGCCACAGACAAAGAGCTGCAGACCAGAGTGCAGAATTGGCTGAAAACACAGGCAGCTGCTTACTATGAAAGGCATTGGAAAATTGGTACCACGCTATGACAAATGTATGAATCGGAATGGTGATTACATTGAAAAGTAGCTTAATGTTGTATCACATTGTTCCACATAACATTTTCTCGATTCTCACTGTGACTTTCATTTAGCGACCAATCGGACCTTGAAAAAAAAAAAAAAAAATAACCTACATATTTAACAAAATACGAAACACATAAAAAATAGGAAAACAAATTAAATTTTACTGAATCTCTATGACGGTGTACATAGAAAGCAATGAAGAAGTCAAAGGTGCAAAATGTTATCATTTGACAGAAGAAATCCTACTCCATAATAATATCAAGTAGATGGCTCTATGTTTTTTTAAAATTTTTCTCTTTCTCTTAGTACCGCTTGCCATCAGTTGATAATCATCAAGCCTCTGTCTCATTAAAAATTTGTCTATTGCATATTCTTTCTGTCTATATTTTAAAATGTTCTTCGCAAAGCAAGATATGACACTATTGCAAATATACATGCTACAGCTTAATACTACTTTATCAGAGTGATAATTTTCTATGAACCTTTGAACCTTATCCCATTTTGCACAAATTTCACGAATCAAATAACTAGGCATATCTTCCCTACCTTCTTCTTCTTCTGAAGACATTTCTTTCACTGCATTAACTGCATTTTGGAATATCATTTATTGCCACCTTATTTGTTCGTATTTCAAGACACTGTTCATCAGCAACCACATTTTACCTTTAGAAAATTTATTTGTTATATTCAAGGTGTTTGTGAACCGAGGCTCCTCTGTACTTCATGTGGTTCAAAAATGATTCACCGAATAAAAAAAGAACATAATGAGAGATAAGTATTTTTCCATTAATGTTTATCAGATTAAGCGCACAACTTAATAATTTTTATTAAGCCTATCTGTAGATAAGCATTACTTAGTGTGGCTTTGAAATGATTCACTAAGTAAGCAAAAACACAGAAAAAGTAAAAGCTTTTCAAGGGACTACACTATTTCAAAGCATTGGAAGATGTGCTTTCATTTCATCAAAATGAATTTAATAGCTTCTTAACAATATGCACCGTACCATCTTTTTAAGTTATTTAAATTAACAAAAATATAAAAAACATAAACAAATTAACAACCTTAATTTTATTTACCCTACAAAGAAAAATAATCAATCTAGATAAGCACTGTAGTAGATTATCTTTTCCCGAAATTTTTAATCAGATAGCTGGCATTTTAACATAATGTTACACGTACTTTTTAACCCCAAAATGTATATAGGTGCATTTACTGCAGCAATATGGTAAGATACATTTTTATTTGATTTGCTAAATGAGCTTATATTTGTTGGCTATTTACATGTGAGTAACTTTACATGTAAGTGCACATATTTTATTATTCAAAATATATTAACTCAATAATTGTAATACTCATGTATTTAAAGATGTTGATGCACGCATTAAAACCTTTATTAACGTTTCAAACTGTCCACTATTTAAAAGAAATTGAACAGCAGTTGACTAAAAATCTTCAAGCAACATATAGTGACATTTTTTTTTCCAGTCTGGGAATAATGCCTTTCTCAAGACACTACTCAGAACCATCTATAAGTCAATCAACTGGGATGCAATTCAAATTTAGTAAGGAGAGTAATGATGACACAGGAAAAATGATTCCATGAAAAAAAATTAGTTCCAAAAGTTGATAATAGTGGAAAATATGATGCTCTTCTAGTCTATGCAACTGAAAATTTGCATGAGATGCAGGTAAAATTTTAAAATGCTACTGCTCAGTTACACAAACAACAGTATCAGTAATAATTCAGCCTATAAAGATGAAGGGAAAACAAAAGGCATTCTGAAGATTAGCTAGGTTCAACATACATCAAACTTTACCTCAGCACACATTACTTGTGATGCTGTTTTATCATCATCAATCAAAAACAACCTCTTCAGTTAAAAAAAAAGCTTCAAAAGCTCTTCATGAATTCAGAAGTTGTAACCTAAGTAAAAGACCTCTATCAGTTAATGTACTGAAATGCATGATTCGACAGAAGTTTGAAGAAACAGGATCCTCAGCAGTTTGGTTCGGCTGAGGGCTTAGAAATGGGTGTCAAAATAAATAATTACTGATTTCAGGAACTGCAGTAGTTGACATTACCCATGGGACCACTGCTGGTAATAGCAATACCCAAGAATGTAACAAATAGATTTAAATTCTTCAATGGTATCGCAAATTTCTCATGAAGTTCTTTACTTCTGCCCATACATGATCAGCCACATGCCGGGATTAATACACAACGATTATGGTACATGAGTGTCATTTGCTCTAACATTTCTTGCCAGTATGGAGGTAAGAGGTGCTTTGCTGTGGAAATTTCTGTGGGGAGATGAAGCTCATTTTCACCTAAATGAGACCATCAATGCTCACTATTCTCAAATTTGGGCATCTGAACAATTCTATGCAGTTCATGGAATCTCACTGCATTCAACAAAAGTTACTGTTGACTGTGGCTTCACAACAGATTACATCAGCAGACCATTTTTTTTGGGGGGGGATATTATTCTAACAGAACGACATACCCATATTGCTCCCTGAAAAGGTACCAAGATAATTTGACTAGTTTTTGTCATTTCATAGCTTCAGCAAAGACAACTGCCATATCAGGTAACTTCTATATAGGCTCATGCACCACTTTACAGAAGAAAGGGTAACGAGTATCTTTTTTTCACTTGTGCGGCCAACTCACTCCCCAGATTTAACCCCACGAGACATTTTTCCTGTGAGATTCTTTGTTCAGTGTCTATCTTAGTGGGGTTCTGACCTGGATGACCTTAAAGGACAACATATTATGGGCTATGCTGAGCATTCCCAGTGATATGTTACTTTGGCCATCAAGAATATTGTGTACAGGATGCAATGTACGATCCAATCTATTGGGGTTCACGTTGTATGGAGTGCCTTTGCTGAGGAAGGACTTTTATTGAATAAAGAAAGTGAAATGGTGCATTGAAATATCATCTCTGTAAAACTTTGGGGCAGTACATTTGCTGCATTAAAGTGGTGTTGCATTGAAATTTCTTTTTTGCTATTGATTTGCCTAGTTCTCAGGTGTGTAGACTACAACAGTTGTAGACTAGAACTAGATATTTTCTCTTAACAGCAACTATCAGAACTTTTTTCAATGGTATCTTTTTCCCCATGTTGTCATTAATCTCCTACCACATTTGGTGGCATTCCAGCTAATAGATTGAACTACAATTGTTTCGAGTAGTGTCAGTCTTTTTTTTTTTTTTTTTTTTTTTTTTTTTTTTTTTTTTTTTTTTAAAGATCCTGTTTATTTAATAGAAGTGTGCTTTATGTTCACAATGCATTTTATGGAAATGTATTCACTAATATTACAGACACTTTTGAATAGTGATACTAAGGATACTTTTGAATATTATGAATCTTTTCTTCTTTTTAAATGGTATAACATGCTTATACTGCATTATATATAAGTGGCTCTTCTACTAAAAATCATCAGAAAATATAATTTTTGGCCTTTTTATTCATTTAATGAGTAAACATAACATTTACCTGCATATTACCCTCGTAGCTTTGTTTCAGCATATGATTTAGAAACTTCTGATTTCAGGTAACAATCTAAAATGCATGTACAGACAGGAAGGTATACTGTGTATTGCTCAGAGAGTAATACTTGCATATCAACCTTTGAGTGTTTTCAGCACATGATTTTCAACACATGAAAATGCATATACAGAAAGGATATTACATTATGTAGGTAAAAGGAATGTTATTAAAATTAATAACTTTAATCAATTTCTTTGACAAAGCACGTAATACTGTAATATTAGTGCACCTATCCATATGTGCTTTTTAAAGTACTACTAAATATAGTAAATATGATAAATCCTGTTCATATGCTTATTTCTGAGCTTTTGATCAACTCATGTAAAGAAAATTCCTAGTAGATAATCATTTTACACCATATACATAATTTTCCAAATTCTGTAAATTTAGATTCAACATTCATTGTTTTTAGAGCATATTTAGTGTACAGTAATGCCTTAAGAGCTGTTTTCTTTCAAACATGAGAAATTTGAACCTGCATTTACACAATGATTAATTTGCTAGCAATAAAACTACATACATATTTTAAAATTGGAATTACTTTTCTGGGAGTTGGGAGGAAATATTAATTAAAATCATAAAATACATGGTATGTTTGTTCACATGCAAATAATTACCTAACTAAAAAAGAAATTGTTATTTCACTGCTTATGGTTACTGAAACATTTAATAATAGAGAAAATATACATTTTTAATTGCAAAGATTAAAAAGTTTTACTATAATCACAAACTAACTTCTGTACCATTTTAAATAAAAGCTGACTATATTAAGTTATACTAAAGACTATATCATATTATATTAAAATATATTGAAACTGCTATATTAATTTTACTGATTACATTGTGTTATGACTATTTTAATTATACTGATTACACAGTATTAAATGATAGGGATATGCTATCAGCACAGAATGCATAGCAAAACTGAACATCACTTACATAACCTATATCTGGTCTATATATCACATATGCTCCTAAAATCCTTTCTAGAGTGTTATGATATGGTCCACCCTAAGAAAATACAGGAAACAGAAATGTAGATTAAGGGAAATCTTACACTGCATGAGAAATAAGCAGAATTTGCATAAGAAAATGCCATTTATTTGATACAGACAACATTCATAATATCTAAACAATACTCAGTAAAAACTACTAAAATTTTGTTATTTGATATATGTTTTTCAAAAAACAGTAAGAAATTGTAGTTTATTTCATTAGCAAATAATACAGTTCTAGCTGAAAGATATAAAACCAAGAGAATTAAATACATAATGATAACACATTACATCACAACTTGCTTATAACAAGCCCTGATTTAAAAAGGAAATCAGAAATACTTAGTTGGTACAATGTTACGTCTATAGGTGCTTAACTCACTTTTAACGAGCAAACCCCAGTTATAGTGAGCAATATTTTTATGATTCACATACTTTCACCTCTCCAATTCAGCTATCCTTTCTTGGAAAAATTACTCTAACATTCTGAAGTCAACAAAAAGTTTGTTATGAGTCATAAATCCTGTGAACATGTGATGGTGGCCTTTTTCATGTTGTGGAATGAATATGTGAGGACATCCCATGATGATTTTAAGGAGACAGACGGAGATGATGGATGTTGCTTATTGGATGGAAGTTTACTCTGCGTAGGGGTGGCAGTGTAGGGGACTTGTGCGGAGGTCATTCTTTGATCAGCATTCATAGAATATGCTTGCAAAACTTTATCTTGTGATGTCAAAAAGTAAAATTTGTTGATGAAAAAGTAAGGATTTTGCCAGAGGATGAGATAAAAAATTACAAAATCTGCAAAAAGTATGATTTATCTTCTACTGTTTCAACACTGTTAAAGAACAAGGAAAAATTAATGGGTGCATTCCATTAAAATAAGAATGACTGTAATTGAAGAAATGTGCTAGAGAGGATTTGGATGAAGCTCTTTTAAAGTGGATGAAGGTGCAATGTAGTGCAGATTTTCTTGTAAGTGGTTCACTTTTAAAAGTTCAAGCGTAAAAATATATCTGTTGATGCCAATGTTATCACTTCCGAGATATCTACTCCTGAACATATTGTAGCTGAAATTCCAGCTAAAGCAGATTTAAAATAATAAAATAAGCAATAATGATAATGATGAATGTGAAGAATTTCAAAGCTGAACCACCCTCAACATACTCAATTTTTAAGCATGCTTAAGGCAGGGGTGCAAATGACAATGATTTTCAGGCCATAAGTCTCCTCTGAAGCACAATAACACAAGAATGAAATAATGAGACAATTCAAAGCAAATTAACTAACATCTTTTATACTGTACAGAAGTATAAAGTAAAGTAACTATATAGTAAGTATGTATGAATTTTTATGATTTTTTTTATGAACCTGTTTTTTTATGAGCACTGTTTTTTAATGAGCAAATATCGCAGTCCCTTAGCACTCATTACAAGCGAGCTCGACTGTAATTTTCAAAACTAGCTCTCAATGTGCGATTACTCGTTAAAATATCTAAAAAGAATTCTTGATAGATACTGCATTTGACTTTACCAGTTATTAATTAAAATAATAATGATCAAGTTATTTCAGGAAATACAATAAACAAATTAATACAAAAAGTATACGGGCACATTTATACAAAAAATTTTAATATTAAAGTACACCTGGCTTTAATTTTATTGGGATTAAAAAAAAAAACACTCTACCTCTTGAAATATTCCTAGCTGTGGAAATGTTCGTGAAACATCTAATTTTATAAAATCTGCAGCATTTTCATTTGATTCAGTCTCATCTGGAATTATTAATTAAAATGTTATAAAAAATAAAAGAGATTTCAACATAGTATATTAGCATAAAATCAGACTATTCCTTAATTATAATGAACAAATAACTATGTTACACAGAAACCATGATCAAAATAATTAGGACTGTTGATTTTGCCATTATTATTATTTAAACAAAATTCATATCAGCATAGATCAGTTTAATACTTTATTATGTAAGCAAAAGGAGATAACTAAAATGTGTTTCAAGTAAACCGAAATTAAGTTCATTTAATATTTCTGTAAAAAAGACAGATTTCAAATAATAAAAAATTGCTCAAAATAATATAAAAAATTAATATTTTACATACATTTTTAAAAATTTGGTTTATGGACTTATTTTTTTCACCTTTTCCAGTGCTACTTCTATTACTTTCTTATCTATTTCTAAATGAAAAGCAAAATCCAAAGTTTCATTACAAAGTTCTAAAGTTTCATTTACATTAGAAACAAAATCTTTTCAGCTAATAATCCTCCAAACAAAACATAAGTTTTACTAACAGACAAAATTTGTTACGACACTGATATCTTATAAAAGCATACCTTGTCACATTGAAATTAGAAAATAAAATTTATCAACTATTATAATTTATTTTTTTCAAAAATATGCTTGCTGTTTGTAGATCTCTCTTAAAATCTTGCATGCCTTGAATAATCACATAAATTTATCTTGATAGGAAAATATTGTACATTTACTCTAATTTTTGAAGAACTGAGTAGTTTTCAAATAATAGTGTAGTAATAAAATGTAACAATATTTACATTTGTTCTCAGATTGCTTGCAAATTTTTAGGGAATGAGGGATAAGTACAGGGTTTTAATACCTATGTTAAGGTCAACAACTCCAGTTCTGACGACTGAAAAATTTTTTTTGCAACTAATACTGAATCAGAAAGAGGTCAACACAATTTTTAAGCAAACATAATTTCACAGGATGATTTCAAATTAATAGGATGTATATCTTCCTCAAAACATATTTCCTCCTTTTCAGAATTCTTGTTATTTTTTATTGCTCTTATCCTAGATTACCCCGGATAATTCATTAAGAAAAAGTTTGGTCAGCGCAAAGGAATTAAACGTACTCATAAAAAGCAAGTCCAAAACATAAATGCACTCATGCAGAAACCATCTTCATCCACACAAAATAAGCAGGTCAAGTCAATGTTAATTCCAATAACAGCTAGAGGTGTTCATGTACGTATTTCATATTTTATGAACACAGGATTGAATGTTTCTGGGCTTCTAAAGACTTAATTTTGCTAAAGTACCAAGGATTCTTATTCATCATTTTCTAACGAGGGGAATTTAATCAGAGAGATCACCAAACTTTTTTTTTTCATTAAGAGTTTATTATTGAGAAACACAATGTTAATTTTAAGAGATACATAAATAAGCTGAAAACATAACAGCCATGTCTACAATTACAAATTCAGGAAATATTTAACAGAACATAAAACTCTCAAGACCCTCAACAATTTCAGAACAAAAAAGTAAATTCTAAGCACTGAAAAAATTAACTGCTTTATCTAACACACACACAAAAAAAGAAGATTACCATTACATTAAACATTAGTATTTAAGGCAGGAAAAACATATACCATCACTTTTATCACATGCTTTTGCATCAGTTGTAACCCAAATTTTCTCCTTTGATCGAGCTGTACAAATATCAAACAATTCTTGAGTAATGTTTAAATCATTTCCAATGGCTAATTTCCAAATTCTGCCTCGGACGCTTGGAGGAAGACCCTTCCACCAAAGGTCTCGTGTTTTCCTACTGTCTTTACTATAAATCAAAGAAAAAAGAATTTCAGTGACACAGTATAAAAGTATAGAGCAAAATATACACATAAAGCATAACTTCAAGTTTTAGAAGGATAAGCAAATACTTCATAAAAATGTAAAATTCTAAACAGCATGAAAAAAAAGTTTTGTAAAACTGATTACATATACGTCTTTTAACACATGAAACCACCTTTTGACCAAATCTACTTTTACAACATATAAACCCCATGTTTTATTCAGTAATATACTCTTTGATCCACATCACTTCTTAAACACAAGACATATTTTTAAAGTAAGTACCGTTTTGAAATTCTGGCATAGCAGCACTGTAGTTGGCATTTCGTGTGTGCACGCTGTTTACCTACATCTGCTGGCAAGCCACAGGCGGCATTACAGAAACTTCTGACCACGTAAATGCTTCAGTATTTAAAATGGTTCACTGACTGAGAACCCCACTGACAGTGAAATACAGTCGACGATTTGTTTTCTTAGTGCTAAAGATGTGAAAGCAACTAAGCAACTGAATTTATTGTCAGGATGGTGAAGTGCAAGGCAAAAACATAATAAATGATGGAATGGTAAGGAAATGGGTTAAAGCTTTTAAAGATTTCCGCACAAATATTCACGATGATGAATAAAGCGGATGACCTTCTGTCATTACTGAAAAGTTAGCACAGAAAGTTAATGAACGACTAACACAGAACAGATGCTTTAAGATTTCATCCCTACATGATGACCTTCCTTGGTTTTCATTCAGCGTTCTGTATAAAATTATGAGAAAATTCTTAAATCATCGTAAACTGTGCACACGCTGGGTACCCAAAATATCGACAGAGGTGCAAAAAATAAATGTTTAGGTAATGCTTTAACTTTCCTTCAGTGGCAAAGGGAGGAAGGTGATGAATTTTTAAACCAAATTGTCACAGGTGACAAAACCTGGGTGGCTTGTTAAGACCTTAAGCAAACTGTGTTCTGTAAGCCCAATCTAAAACAAAAGGCATGGCATGTTGCTTAGAGGGATTGTTTTGCTTCATGATAATGCCCATCCACAGGGGCTAAATAAACTCAAGATCTCATCATGCCATTTTACTGGGAACAAGTTGATCACCCTCTGTACACTCCCAATCTAGTGCTACTGTAGAAGCATCTGGGTGGTCTTCTTCACAATGACGATGATATTAAATGACTAATGTTGCAGAAGGTGTCAAATCAGATGACAGACTTTTATTAAAAGGGGATTCAAAAACTGGTTGTATGATATGACAAGTGCCTTAATATTGGCAGAAATTATGTAGAAAAATAGACTGAGGTACAGGCTTTCATATAAAACTGGTAAGAAAAATTCTACATGCTTTTTTTTAAATGTCCAAATGGTACTTCCTTTAAAAACATGTCTCATATTTTAAATTGATCTATCTAGTTTATCTTTTCACAAGCTAGAATGTGTACCCTACTGTAAATCTAATCCTTCTACAAAAGATGATGAAAATTTACAAAGATATAGTGTTTTTACAAGAAGTCAAATTCTTTTGTATAAAGCTTTTCAGAATTTTTATTAATCATATGTTTCAGTTATAATTCAAGGTAATTGATTTCCAATAACTTAGTCTTGACTGCATTAGGTGCATTTTAATTCTAATAGTGTATGACTCACCTGATCTTTTGTTCTAAGCATGAGCATGTGCAGGTGTTATTTCAATAAAACAACATCAATAAAATAATTGCGATATTACCAAAGTATTTTAGTACTACAGAGGCTGTTCACACATTTTTTAGACGATGTATATTGTATTCACAAAACTAAATTACATAAAATTCTTGTGTTTTAAATGTTCTATTTGACATCCCTTACTCTAAACTATCTTTCATAACCGCAATTTCCAGGATAATAATGCCTTTTGAAGTGGCAGAAGAGGTATTCTATCCCATTCCTCCCGGACAGCTTTCCAGAGTCCTGTTAGGGTTTTGGGACAACGTTTGGACAATGCAGTTTTTAAAAGTCCGAAAGCACAAAAATCCATAGGTGACACATCGGGAGATTTAGTAGGGATATCAGTGAAGGGTATGGCCTTGACACCAGTTTTTGTTCCATTTCTTTTAGGAAATTTACAGTGGATTTTGATGTGTGACTGCTAGCTTTGTCCTGATGGAGTCTCACAGATTGATGGCACTGTACATAAAGCGATGGTATTTCATTCAGAAAAATTGGCGATAAAATATGTTCCTGATAGTATTTGATTAATCTTGACATTTTTTTTGCCCTCTCTTTATTTTTTAACTTGCCATTATGAGAAAAACCAGCAACAGTCATGAATCCCTTAGAAAAACTTTCTTCCGATTCTTTGAACCATGTTCTAAATTTTTTCTTCCCTTTTATGATAATAAATGGCTCTTTTTTTCTTACATTTATTTAAATACACCCATGCTTCATCTATTGTGACAGTCGTTTTCCATTTTTCTTTGGATAAGTGTTTCTCATATAGAATTCTGCAGCGTGTCCTGCGCTGAGCGATATGCTTTGGAAGAAGACGATGCACATTGCGTTTTTTCGCTTTCTTAGGATTTAAATACACGTTTATCATTTTGTTTACAGTGGACACCGAGCATTTTAATGATTTTGCAACTGTCCTTTGACTAGGGGGATTTTCTTTTAACATTAAACAATGTACCTTTGTAATAGTCGAAGATGACCGTTTTTACCTTGGATACTTGTTTGGAATTTTTGTCCAACTTGAGGCTCCAATTTGACGTTGATGATATTACCTATCGACGCTTTAGATATCATAAAACCATGACTCTCACATCGTTTTTGGATAACAGAGTATGCATATTTCTCTTCGGAAAGAGCGTAAATGTAGCCTTCGAACCACTGCTTTGTTAAATTCGCCATTTTGAATAAAAACAAAACTTTCAAGACACAGACGATAATTTTGACTTTTAAAAACATAGTACAATTGCAATTACTTCTTTTGCAGCAAACAATTTTTATTATTGCTTACCAAAATCGTCTAAACAATGTGCGAACAGCCTCTGTAAAAAAATATTTCCCTAAAATAATAAACATAAATAGCTATTTCCAAAAAAAAAAAAAAAAAAAAATACAGATGCTTAAATTCATTTATTTACATCTATAAAAAATTAACACAAAAACTGAGCTTAAATTTCTTTGCAACATGCACATTATATAAGTTCCAGCTCTAGCAAAAATCTTGATGGTGCTATGATTAAACATGAATAATTTTTTTTTTTTAAATTATTTTGAATACCACTATTAGCAGCTCCCATTTTTTATCAGTTTTATAGTCATTTACACAATACGTAACAATTCTATAAACATCAATTTTCAATAAATAAATTAAATAAAATAGTCATAAATAGCATTCTTTTTTTTTTTTTTTTTTAAGGGATATGCAATCATTACACTAGGTAGCATTTCACAACAACTCACAGTTAACTGGTGCACAGAGAAATATTTTGCATGGATACAAAATACACGACGCACCGAGAAGGAGTTATTCGAATGGGACAAAAATCATCAGAAGTGATGTACATGTACAGAAAAACAAATGATTACAGTTTGAGAAAAATTGGATGATTTATTGAAGTGATAGAGCTTCACAAAGTGAAAAACTCAGTAACGCATTTGTCCACCTCTGGCCCTTATGCCAGCAGTTATTCGGCTTGGCATCGATTGATAGAGGTTCTGGATGTCCTCTTGAGAGATATCGTGTCAAATTCTGTCCAACTGGCACGTTTGATCGTCAACATCCCGAGATGGTTGGAGGGCCCAGCCCATAATGCATGCTCAATAGGAGAAAGATCCGATGACCTTGCTGGCCAAAGTAATGTTCAGCAAGCATTAGGAACATGTGCAGTGTGGGTGCGGGCATTATCTTACTGAAATGTAAGCCCAGGGTGGAACGTGAAAAAGCTAGGAACGTGAAAAATGTGCAATTCCTTGCCTGGAATCAAAGCAGGACCTTTCAAATATGCGCTGAGTGTGCTACCTTTACACCACAAAGGCATGCTGGAAAGAGGGAGAAAATACCTTATATACTCCCTCTTTTAAAGGGTGACTGGGGATTAGGGAACTTAATGACCAGATCCTGATGGTGACGAATTATTATTTCCCACCTTTTAGATTGGGAACCATTTTAGAGTCATTAAGTTATTTTTTGAAGCAGGAATATGAAAAACGTGCAATCCCTTGCCAGGACTCGAACCTGGACGTCTCGAATATGCACTGTGTTATCATTACACCACAAAGGCATGCTGGAAGGAGAAAGAAAATACCTTATGTGTTAAAAAAGGAAAATAAAAATATTATTTTTATCGACAAGTCATCTACAAAGTATTCCAAATTTTTAGCCATGCTGAAATTTCAGTTTGCAAGAACAAATAATAAAGAAATTTTAATGAATGTTAATGATCTGTGGTTCCTTCTGAAGAAAATTTATAAAAAAATTCTAAATTGTGATATGTGCCATTTATTCAACATACCCGATACAAAAATATTTTACATTTTGAATGCTTTAATGATAAATGCATTAGTTATATCTTTACAAAACTCTAATTTAAGAATTACATGTTTTTAAGCATCTTATTTTACTATGTTATGTTCATATAACCGATAGCCCAATGAGTCATAACTATAAAATAAATTTGTAAAAAGTACAATAGGTTAGAACAAAATTATATGAAAAAGGGCTTTTTATTGAAATTTTTTATTAAATCATTTTTTGCTTTATTCCCTTAAAAGCATTATTTCTCATTAATAAATTTCTTTTCAAGGCAAAATAAGATTAAAATTAATAAAAAAAGGGAAGGGAGATAACTGCTGACAGTGAGATTCAAAGTGAAAATTGAAGATAATACTCGGATGTTTACCACTGCACCAATGGAGCACATACAGTATAAAAAATTTTAGCTTTAATTTTCACAAGCTGTATGTTGCATTTTTACGAAAATATTCCCAATGAGGCACTCTTACTCATTGGAAATATTTTTTGTTAAGATACAGCAAAATCAATGAGCCCAAGGTCATCCATTTTCCTAATTATTAAAAACAATGAGCAAACTTATAGAAAGAATTTATAAACATCATATCCAATGCCTTAAAAATAAGGACTTTTATCATTTATTTAATTCCAATACTGAACATTCAGTAGTGCAATTAAATACAATACAAGTACATGAAGTCATTAAACTTTGGCAACTATATTCTGTGCTTGATTTAAAGGTGTAGAGAAGTAAAAAATACAATAAAAAAAATTAAAAAAAAATTAAACTTATTATGTTATTCACAATTTATATAAAATTTCTTCAACTCTGATTAAATCCAAATTTTATTAATAATTTTTTTAGAGGAACATACTGTCTTGTGTCAATGAAAATTCAGTTTTTCCTTAGTTTACTGTATATGCACTTCACATGGTAAATTTCTTCAAATTTCAGAAATACTGAATGCCCAACTCCTAAATTAAAGTTAAGCAATTTATCAACATTTAATAAAATATACTTTTTTACAATCTTTAATATAGTTGCAGTATAAGAAAAACTTTTAAATTTACATAGCTCATGACTTCAATGAAGTTGAATAACATTGAAACAACTACAAAAATGCTGAGTCTAATATAAAAACAATAAATATGTAGGTCTTTATATTCAAGATACACAAGTTTACAGAAAAAGGTAACATACGATGTATTCCAATTAGGAAGTATTTCATCATTCCATATTTTTGTGGCAGTAATTAATTGCTCCTCCAATTTCTGTTGCTGATATGCTTGTTTTTTCCGAAATTTTGCATCTTGCAACTCTAGAAAATATATTTATTATACTACAGAAGAATTTTAAAGTATTTGTTATTTAATCCTAACTTATAATTTGTATAACTGCAATGGGAAAACTATTAAATTTAAAAGAAAAATTTTATCACATATTTTCATTTACATTTCCTAGTACTACCATAAAATGAATAAAATAATAGTTAGCTCAACAAAATATTTTAAAGTTATCGATCAAACCCAACCAATATAAATTTTTTTAAAAAAAAGGGAAATAGAAACATTTTACTGCATTTAGTAGAAGATTGCACTTCTGATGCACTTATTACATATCTTAATCCTTAACCAAATTCTTTAAAGTCAAAATTATTTTTAAATATTTAAACAACATACAATAATCATATTTTCTGATTAATACTTGATAAAACTGCAAGTGATTTATATAAGCAACCATAAATTACTATAGGCAACCAACTTCTGTTATAGATAGGCTTCTTCATAGTGTTACGAAATGTCCAGGCACGGTGGGGTAGCTTCCTTTCAAAGCAGTTTTAGGAATTTAGTCAGTATTGTCAGGAAGCTCCAAAACAAGTTTTTACAGTCGTTGATGAACTATTATAAACTCACTGACACAATCAGCGACACAGCCTCCAGGTTATCAGGCTATCACGGCGGAGACAGCTTCACTGCAAAGCACCAGAGTACAGCTCCCGACTCAGCTCAGTCGTTCTCAGAACTCCACATACTCTCGAGACTCTCCACACTACAACTCGCGATGCACTCAACGACATACAGAGCACAGCTAACGACTCTTCAGTTAAGTGGTCCCCGGAGCTACGATGATGCACTAACCGCGATACACTAAGAGATTCTTCGATGCACTTGCTGACCGGCTGTCAACTCGATCATCTCCTCACAAACTAGATGAAACACACTGACTCGCCCTCTCGACGAGGGCCCGCCAGCGGCCGAGTGGTAAAGTCGCTGAACACTGGTAGTTCGGTCCGAGGTTCGAATTCCGCGAATGGACTGGCTGCATGGGTGTTCTCGTGGTTTTCCCCATGTGTAACGTGTATACGAGCCAGTTTCCCTTAGAAAGTCCTCCACAAAAGGCATTCCTCCCCTTAGGCAGATAGCCCTCGAGGCTTTGCTGTAATTAAATAACCTAAAATAACCTAACCCAACCTCTCGACGAGGCACTTACTAACTAACGGACTGCAGACCAGCAGGGTTTATACAACTTTCGGCTCGTGTTCGAGAACATTCTGGGCTAAATAGGTAAGAATTTGTTCCAGAATGTTCTCCATCCGTCCATGGCACATTGCCAATTTTGTCACCGAATGGGTGATTTCTCGCCAAATGTGGCAACCCTAAAACTGCTTTGCAAAGAAGCTACCCCACCGCGTAACAATACAATAGTTTCACTGCTTTAAAAAATCAACAATCTAAATAAAATGCAACTTCTCATTGCTACAACTATTGCTCTCTCCAATCAGTTCAATTAAATGGCATTATGCAGTATACAGTCTTTAATTCAGACGTCCATAATCCGGACCTCAAAGCTACAAACTTTCTGCGCATGCATAAACGCATAATGCACATAATACCTATGCGCATAATACATTTATGCATGCACGTTTAATGTATAACGGACGGTATAAGCTAGGCTAAAATTATCTAATTATCTATTTCAGTTAATGTTGCAGATTGCGTTGTTCCTTAATCTTCTAATTAGATCCGGCTTATTATATTTTGCAGACTGTTAGAGCAATTTTATAAAAAGTAAGCTTGAACTTTCGATTATGTGAAAAAGAGTTTCCGATTCTGGAGCTGCCAAAGGATCTACAAAGCAAAGGCATGTTTCGATGTCCATTAAACAAAAAGTGGAATTGCTGCAAAAAATGGATAAAGGCATGAAGAAAGTGACAGAGAAGTGATTTGTTTCTCTAACCATTCCAAAATCTGTTTATCAATTTCACGCTGTGCAGTGCGCAATGAACTGGGAGTTGATCTGTCAGCACTATCCTCATCTTCAGGGCAGATGTTTTTATTTTATTCAGCTTATAATTCCTTACTAAATGTAGTGTTTCATCTCGATGTACTCCGATATGATTTAAATCAATTTCCTCATTATAAATATCACGAATACACATAAAATAGTTTTCTGGTTACAATTTTCTAATTTCGACTATGCGTAATGTATGCTTTATGCATGCGCGCTTTAAAGAAATGTTTAATAAAGTAAACAAATAAATATTAAGCTTTTTTTGTAAATTTTGATATACTCTTTAGATCATAATTGCTCTTTATTTCATAAATTACGGTTTCATATTTTTAATTGTATAATTTCTGCATGCCATCTTACCAGATTTAAATTGATGATCTATAATCCGGAACTGCCGAAGTCCCGACGAGTCCGGATTAAAGACTTTGTACTGTATGATACAAAATAATTAATACAGTATATTCTATTTTTATGCACATACACAAAATTAAGTTATATTAAAGTAATATTTATTACTCATAATCCAATTTATTCAATTATTATCTTATATTCTGAAGATTAATATTAGTTTTCATTGTCTCAGCAACAAGATGAGATTAAAATACATATACATATTTATGAAATAGATTAATTTATAGGAATTAATTAAATACAAAATGTTACCTTTCTTTCGAGCTCCTTTTATCATTTCTTCATATAGCTGTTTATGTTTTATTTCTTCTTCAAGAGATTTTGCAGGCAGATTCCTTTAGAAAAGAAGAAAAATTTTATGTCATCAGCAATGTCAACACAGGGTTAAAAACATACCCATGAATACACAGAACTAACACTGAAAATTCAATACGAAAGATTCTCAGAGTATGCCACACTTCTTTATATTACATAATTGTGGAAGATATAAAAATCCAGAAAATGTTTTATCTTTATATCCTTATTAGTATTCAAGAGAACTACTGGTAACTTTGAAAAGTCACCGCATTACACGACATGATCTGATTGTGTTTGAGATATGGAACAAAAATAACATACGATGGATAACATATGGAAAACCATAGTATGGCACAGCAATCAGAGGCAGAAAACAAGTATTTAAATTTATACTGTCACTCTGACATAATTTTAATATAAAGAAGATTGAAATACTTTTTTAAAGGGAAAAATGAATTTGCTTCTGAATATAAAAATTTTCACCTTAAACAGTATTTAGCACTTTCATTTAAAATCAAAATTAATGAGAATATAATAAAATACTATTGATTACTATAATTCCTATTTTCAGATTGTTCAGTCAAATACCTTAAAATATACATGGAATTCTACGAAAAATCTGTGGCTTTCATTATCCAACATTAAAACCAAAATACGAACACTATTTATAGCTCTTTTCTTTAACACTGCATGGAATTTTATTCCTTTTCACATATAGTTGCATTTCCATGAAAATGTTTAGGAAAAAAAGAAAAAAGGTATTGTTATGTTATCAGGACCGTATTCAGAAATCTATGAATTTATGCATGTGTGTATGTATTATATGTGCATATACATGTATATGCATATACATACATTTTTACCTTTCTGAATCCGGTCCTGATAACAGAACAGTAACAAAAAAATAAAACAACACAATAATAAAAGAATACTTCTATATTTTTAATATATTTAAATAACTGACAAATATAACCAGTAAAACGCTACTTACTCACAAAACACTTACGAATAAATCTCTTATAAATCAAAAGAAAACTTAAAAATAAAACATGCTAGAAATAGCACAAAATAATGTGACAAAAATTATGTAATAACAGCACGAGATAGCAAAAGATTGCACATTTACTTTGCAATTACTGATTAGTGGGACATGAGTTAAAATATATGCAAATAGAATGGAAAATATGAAAAAATATTAAAATTATTTATATAATAAATTAAGAGGAAATTAATTTCTCCCTCCTATCTAACTATTCCTTACAAAAGGCTAGGAATTCATACATGCCTGGTTGAGAAATGCTGAACAAGAAATTTAATAAAATCTTACTCCCTTACCAATTTAATATCCTAATATGTAAAAGCTATAGTTATATCACACCTTCAAATTTAATACACACTTACGGTGGTCTGTTTTCCAGTATGAGGGCTGTAGTAGAGCTAGGTACGCATTCATCACTTCTACGACTACTGGAAGAGCAAGCGGATGGGCATCGCTGATTTTGGTCCAGTAGTTCAGCTTCACTCTCAATGGGTGATTTTGATTTCCATGGTAATCTAACAATATTAAAAAAATATTTTTAAAAATTCAGATAAAACAATATTGATACAAAGTATTATGTTACTGTATATAAGAACTAAAGACTGCTAAGTATAATGAACAAGATTAATTTACTTAAAATTTTCAGATTACATTAAGTTCCAACTCATCATCATTTCATTAAATAAAAAAAAAAAAAAAGGAAGAATGGAAAATATTTCATAAAGAAAATTACATAAAAAAAAATTTTTTTTTTTTTTTTTTTTTTGCTTATTCAGTTCATTAGTTTATGAACTGAATATTCACACTTAAGTTTTTACACAGATGAAAAGAACTGCAGATCTTTACTGTTCATACCATGTGCATTTATCGAACAGAGAGGAAGTTTTATCTTTCAGATTCCATCAGAAAAGCATTAGCAACAGAACAGATACTGCAGCACTAATGGACTATTTTTGTTTCTGCCATTATACAGCATATATATTTATCTGATTTAATAAATTTGAATTCGTTTAGGATATGCTGGTAAATATGAATTTTTGTTAACTCCAGTACTTTTAATAAATGACCATAAATAGATGAAAAATACAAATAAAAACTTGAAAATGAAAATGTAAAAAGGGGTGTAAAAAGGGGTGGAAACAGAGAATACTACAGAAAAATGGCCACATCTAAGACATGGGAAATATGCCAATATAGTCTTCTTAAGTTATAATATCAATACAGAATACTTGTTAACCTGGTAAAATCTATTCTGTATTTTTGTACTTATATTTATTTTTGTATTTATTCTCCATTTAATAAAATAGTTACCCTTTTCATGAAACTTTATATATTGTTAAGGTTGTCATCATCTAGTTAAGATTTTGTGTCAGCATTTATGCTTAGCACTAAGCAGTGCCCCATTCGCAGAAAAGAGCTAATTTTAGTTTTTAAAGGAAATAATATATAATTCAGACCTTTTTTCCTGCAGCAGTATAACTTCTCACTTGATAATCCTTCTTCATTTAAAAGTAGTACTAGTAATAATGATTCGGTACAGTAATAGTAAAAGAGTAATAATAATGATTTCTAGCACCATCCAGACGAGATAGCAGCTAGTGATGCTGACTACTAAAGTCTTGGTACAAAAAGCCTTGGTTCAAATCCCAGATGCTTGTAAATAAACAGTGTCTGTGTGGCATGGGGGCACTCAAAATATATGATGAGCTAAAAGTCCTCTCGAGTGGTTTGGTGGTAAGGGAAGACTATCCTTTGACTTTTTAGTGTTTTTCTTCAAAATTGGGGCAGAACTGCTAAACACAGCTGCACTGCCAACTATATGGAGCTCAAAGCGCATGCCAATGATAGATATAATTTCACCTCCCTGCCATGATAAAATTCATGGGCTGTTCTGGTTAGGTCAGACAAGTGAGACTGTTAGTCCAAGTTAAGCTATTATATTATGTCAAAAAACTGGGAACTTACTATACACAGCTATGCATGAAATACATCTATTGCAAAAATACTTTAAAATAAATACACAGTTAAAACACATCAGACTTACTTCAAAAATAAATTAGAAAGACCCCATTTCTTTGGCTTGGCTCCCTTACACGAGCCATCTGACAAACTCTGTAAATTATCACAGGAATAACAGAGAGAAGAATTCGAACCCACTCTCATTTCACCAATGCAGAATGAATGCTCCGTACCAGCAGAGGACATACTTGTGAAAGATGATGTGTCCGTATGCTGGAGTGATGTAGATGTAGGAGAGCGGGGGACATGATTTTCTGCATTACCGACATCTACACCACCCTCCTCTATCACATCTTTTTCCGTTTCTTCCATTTTTCTATCCAACATTTCAACTTTTTCTCGGACTGAAACCTTGCTGCTGCATCGGGTTTCGGACGTGTCTCTTTCAGTTTTGTCAGTGTTTGAGTGGTCCCTCTGAACAAGGGTGCCATCACGATCCATTGGAAAATAGGTTCCATTTCCTATTTTAGAGGACAAACACTTAAAGTTCTTTATTTGTGGTTCGGATCGAGATTCAAGCTCAAGTTGCTTAGTAAAAGGATTATAAACTAATGGAATACTTCCCAAAACTACATCTAAAGTAGGTTTTTCTTTCTTTCCAACAGTATAAACAGGAGATCCTTTCTTATGAAGTCTCTCATATGGCAATTTTACATCTACTTCACTTCTTTCATTTCCTACGGTATTTATAAGCCTGCATTTCAAATGCAATAAATCATCAAAATCTTCCTTTATGATATCAGAATCTATATCTGGTTTTTTTAGGACTTTAGGTGGTATAGGCTTCTTCGTCCACACCTCATTAAAAGAATGTATTTCAGTACCGGAAGAAGGCATCTACCATTACGATGAATGTAAGGGTGAACCTGCAATGGATGTTTACATATTATATAATTACATAGCATATTACAACATGCATACTAAAACAGATTTAATAGCAATAATTCATAGTTTGACATAAATGTAGTAATTTACAGGGAAGCAACTACTATTTTCGGTAAAATTTTTAAAAATACAGAATTCAGAAACACTAATTAATACTGATTACCCCTTCTTTCAACCAAATCAATAAGAATTAAATTACATTGGTGAAGATCTAGGTGTTAAAAATTAGCCATGTGTTTGGACATGATGGGCAACATACTATTTATAAACAGGTTCTTGCTATGTAGAGAAACTATTCAAGAGAAACTATCTGCACATATTTTATTTACATCACACGATAAGTACAGTACAAAGTCCATAATCAGGACCTCAAAGCCACAAACATTTTTTTTTTTTTGTATGCTTTATGCATGCACGTAATGCATTATGCATACGAAGCAATTTAAACAACTTGCATTGAAAGAAATGTTTAATAAAGTAAACAAATAACTATTAAGCATTTTTTTTTTTTTTTTTGTAAATTTTGACACCCTTTAGATCATAATTTATCTTCATGCACATAATGCGTTTACACATGCACATTTAGCACAAAAAATGAAGCAAACAACTTACATTGAAAGAAATGTTTAATAAAGTAAACAAATAAATATTAAGCTTTTTTTTGTGTAAATTTTGATATCCTTTAGATCATAATTGCTCTTTATTTCATAAATTACGGTTTAATATTTTTAATTGTACAATTTCTGCATGCCATCTTACCAGATTTAAATTGATGATCTATAATCCGGAATCGCCGAAGTCCCGAAGAGTCCGGATTACGGACTTTGTACTGTATAAGAGTTTCCAACTTTGAATTTTTTTTAACGACATCACACTGATGATTGATATTGCATAGGAATTACCATGTCTAATATCATAAGATTTTTATTATTTTTATAAATTAATGATTTTTAATTATTATTTAAAATAATTTTATCTTCAATTAATCATATTTGTTTTTCTGTAAAAAGTAAAACAATTGATTAGAGCTTGATATTTTTTAACAGAATAATATGCAAGCTCTTTGTTGAAAGGCCACTGTGAAATATTTTTTATTAAAACTAGACTGGATTATTTTGACGATGGCTATATACCTTAGGACAGGAAACCTTTATGAAGGGCATTTTATCCTATATTTAGATAAAACTAGGATTCGAATCCAGGTCAATCTACCAATGTTCAGTGATTTTACTACTTAGCTGCTGCTGGGCTTTACTAAAAAAATATGCAGAACTTTAATATAGTTTTCAAATTTTAAAATAATATTTAAAAGTGAACAAAAATATTTTCATACTTCCCTGAAGCAACAGCAATGTTAATAAAAAAATTGTAACTTCTGTATTCACATACGTAATACTAGAGCATCTTTACTTAATTACAATACCACTAAAAATGGCAAAAAATTCTGCCATTCTGATTTTTTGCTTCTGATGAAGAGGGACCCGTTTTGCCCCTGAAATCGATTGGGATTTTATAAAATCTACGCCGAATACAAGTATTATCAATATGCCAGTTTTATAGCTCATCACATCTTGAAATTAAGAAACTGCAAGATGGAGCCATTTCTCTCAAATGTAGCTGTATTATGTCAGCTAATGGATCATGCCATTTTTTAGCAATGAAGAAAAAATTAATAATATGCAAATAAATATCTTAAAAAAAAGAGACCTATTTGATAAAATAACCATCTAAGTATCACAGCTTTTTGAATCAGATGATGAAGACCTTTATTTATTAGCTAAATTTATACAGTTAATTATTTCAGTCTTCATTTTCATAAGCTACCATTTACTAGGGAAATACGAGGGCCATCCAGGAAGTAGATTACGTTTCCGTCTGTGTCCGCTAGGGGCGGGGCTAGCGCGGCCATCTTGGGGTCAGAGCGTTGCTATCTTGGGGTCAGCTCAGTCTGCATCTAGCCGTGCTAGTGAGAGGTTCGTGCTGTGCTCCGTTCAGATACTGTGACGGTTTGAGATGTCTGCGTTAATTGAAAATCCCGCGAGCTGCGAGGTGCGCTCAGTAATAAGGTTTCTGATTGCAAAAAACTGTAAACCGATAGAAATCTATCAGCAGCTTCGTGAAGTGAAGTGTATGGGGACAACATTATCACTGAAGGTGGAGTGCGTCAGTGGGTCATAAGATTTCAAAATGGCCGAACCAATGTTCACGACGAAGATCGAAGTGGGAGACCCAGCATAGTGACCGCCGAACTTCTCGAAAAAGTCGATGCTAAAGTCCGTGAAAATCGAAATTTCACAATAACGGAACTTTCTTTGAGTTTTCCACAAATTTCGCGAAGTTTGTTGCACGAAATCATCAGCGAAAAGCTTGGTTACCACAAGTTTTGTGCAAGATGGAAGGCAAGAAGAGGTAACGAAGTGGTTGAAGGCGCAGGCGGCCGAATTTTTCGACGAAGGAATTTCCAAGCTCGTACATCGCTACGATAAATGCCTTAATTTGTATGGTGACTATGTAGAAAAGTAGTATTTGAGTGTGGCTTTCATCTGTATATAATAAAATTTGTTTCCTATACTTTGTTTATTTTTTTATTCCAAAACGTAATCTACTTTCTGGATAGCCTCGTATTAATTGAAAAAAAAAAAATTAATGTAAAATAATACAAGTGATTAAAATCTATTCAATAAAGCGGCTTATCCAGGGAAATAGAAAATGATTAGGTAAGTAGAAGGATTTCAAAATTTAGGGGTTGGAATTACGATTATTCAATTATGGCAAAGCACACTAGGGCTATTTGCCTAAAGGGAGGGGTGCCTTCGTGGAGGACTTTCTAAGGGAAACTGGCTCGTATACACATTACAAATGGGGAAAACGACCATGCAGCCACCCGTTTGCAGGATTCGAATCTCAGACCGAACTACCAGTGTTCAGTGTCTTTACTGCTCGGATGCTGGTGGGCCCAAAATTTTGAGATGAAATTCAGTTTTATACACTCTGCTTTTGAAAAAAGTTTAGAAAGTGAATTAGTTTAAAAAATGAGCCCAGGAGACTATAGGTAAAGTACATAATTCTAATGTAATAGATTTAATGAAGAGGAGTTCAGATTACAAGAATTTACAGGCAGGTGTACAAGAATTTACAGTTTGTCACATTGCATTAACAGGTGTGCTAATGAATGGATGAGAATTATTACTTTTTCTGTCACCTTACAAGACGAAACACGGAAAAGAATGAATGAATGTAAGACACAATATCATCAGATTTTTCTATAAAAGAATCTAGTTATTTTGTCCATAAGTATATAACTTTTATTAATATTTTTCTTTTAGTAGAATATTATTATTTTTACATTGCCAGTTTACATATTTCCTAATTTCCCACCCTCTCTCTATATCATCGGCATTTAAGAGATAACACTGCACTAAAATATAAGTTCTGTACAATTTTAATATGTACTTACATACTTTACAGTTAACAGACAAAGTTGGCAGAGATCACTACATGATACTTCCGTATTATCACAACCAACTTGGTAGAAGTTGTCAAATTCTCAGAAATCGACAGTCTCTGGCAACCATGCACCTAACAGTTCTTTAGAGATACCATAAGTTGCAACACGAAAATTCCGAATAATTTTTTCTTTAAAAAATTGTCAAAATGCGCTGAGGTGGTTGTACTAAAATGTAAGTACCCACTAAACATGAACTAATCATTCCAGACAAAGCTTGAAAGAACATTTTGTTAGAAAATCAGCATATGCAAGTTATACTGTTTGGTGTAAAATCACAGCTTCCAATGGTCAGCTTATCACAATTTTTCTTATTATTTCACCCCTGCTTATCTATTTTCAAATGAAGTTTTATATTTTGCCCATTTACACACACTTTTTTTTTCTGATTCAGGATCCTACAGCTAACAAAATGTTCTACTTCTGCATTAAAGGTCCCAAATTTAATTCATTTTTTCAAAATGCAAGGAAAAAACGAAGAAATAGCAATTAACTTTTTTAACAAAAACTGCTTATCATGGATTAATTGAGGCTACATAAAGCGAAGGTAAAGATCTTATAAGTACATTTCAGCGTCATGCTTTTCTATTATTGGCTCACTCTTTCATGACGGTTTTTGTTTGTCAAAAACAGTCAACAGGAAAGTATGTAAGCATGTTTCACTGGATCAGTTTGTCACATTGCATTAACAGATCTCATGTTCAGCAACTCTCTACTCGTTCAACATTGAGTTTGTGGGATTATATTCTAGTTACATTCAGCAGAAAATAAAATTAAAGAAAAAAAATCAGATTTTTATTGATTCTGTAGACTATGACACAATTAAAAACAGTTAATTATAAATCTGTAGGTCAGATGGTTAGGAAAATTTTAAGACCTTATGGCAAGCAGAAAATCAACACTGAAGGATAAAAATAATTAATATAATGGTAACAAACTGCATTAAAACTGTTTAAAACCTTTCTCACAAATCTGCTTCCAACTATAACATAATGAATTAAACACAGCATAACCAGCTTTAAGATGATGAACCATACTTGATAAAAAAGATGAATTAAGTATACACAAATTTGAAAAACGAAAAATGGTTCTCTTTAAAGCTATTATATATTACACTTACATAAATCTAAAATGCACCAGATGAACAAACAATGGTTCTCTTTAAAGCTTATTATACATTATACTTATCATACATCTAAAATGTATCTAAAATATATGGTCCATTAAATAAGAAACTACTCACTGAAATAATCTACAGAGTATTTAGTTTATCTTGAAAATTTAAAAATGTAAAAACTGCCTTACTCTACAGAGTCTTAAAAACAAACCTACAAAAAATTCTTAAAACCATAACAATAACTAATTTAAGTAACTTTTCAAAGAACTTGTATGTACACATATATACTAAAATTGCTAATAATAAAAAATAACAAAAAGAATTAAAGCTTACAATGCGGTTTTTTTAACAAACTGAAGTTCGATAACAAAAGGTATATCATATATTAAAACACTTCTCGTGTCCTAAATGAACTAAAATCGTGTTCCAAATCTAAAAGCATTTTAGTTTATTTCCCTTAAATTCAACACAAAAATAATGAAAGCATGTAAACAAAAAAATGATACTGAACACTGAAAAAAGTCAAATTTTAGTCTCTGCTAAAGGATTTTTCCCTCATTAAATATAAGAACTGCGATCACCTATCAAAAAATCTACATAGATTTCGAGGTCAATAGCAAAAGAATGAAAGATCACACGCACGTTCTAAACAAACGCGGGTACGTTGTAATGAAATCTACTCAGGATGTCTTCTGTGCGTACATTTAAAAACAATTTTTACAGTTTGCGTCATGTTACGATGCTTCAGCTGTCAAAATTGATAAGCCAGATTAGATAAAAATAAAAACACACAATTCCACTTGTTTCAGAATATACGAATCACAGATACTGCTGTTCAAGTTTACTACAGTTCTGGATCATAATATAACAAGTTAAATATGAAATATAAATTAAGAAAATTAACGCATAGATATAATAATTTCTACAATCCATTACCATGATTATGTTCATTTGTAATACAACTTCATATGCATGCATATAAATCGGCGTGAACAGATATTAGACATTAAAAGGATCAACTACTTACTACGGAATTAATTAAGTCCAAATATAAATAAACTATCACATCATCTTGAACACTACGAAGTCATTGAGGAAACTCCCATAACACAGATGATTTCATTTTAGTGACGCTAATAGTCGAGTAATCTCGATCACAATATCATCGCTTGCAGTTTTCCGTGAGATTGAACATTACAGTCAATCTGAACAATGCCGTTAGTTTCAAATTCTGTTCCTAGATGTCAGGAGGAGAGTTTCTGATGCTTCTAATTGTTAGGCTAACAAACAGGCGAAAATTTCGTTAGCTATTAGTAGAAAATAATTAGGCCAAAATTTAGAAGATACTAAAGGGACAGATCGTTTGACTTCATACTAATTCATTTTAGAATAATCTTTCTGAAAAAGAAATCATATAAGTTTTAGTATAAAACTCTTAAATGTTGAATAGAACAATCAAATAGTGTTCTATTATGGCAGAGGTTTCTCAACAAACTGGAAAAATATGGCAAAATTTTTCAATTATAAATGCAGACGATACTATACTTCCAACATAGATGCAAATCTATGTTAGAGGTCTATATAAAATTTTAAATTAGGCAAAAAAGCAATCTTACGTTGGGGATAAGTTAGAGTAAATCACAAAAAATATAAATTATTGTTTTATCTCCCTTAAAACATTGCGTTTCTGTTTAAATTACTTCGGAGAATACCAGTGACTACTGTTTTAGATAATTGCTTGCAAAAATGACAGAATGTTGGCAGAGTGACCTGCCAACAATCTTTGGCAGGTTGACATGCAATAAGGGTAGTAAATAGGATATCAAGATCAATCAATTATACCTTAAAATCTAAATAGTAATTTTTGAAGTGGAAGTCTTATGGCATTCCTCCCTCGTCTGCCCATCTTCACTTATGTACACGCTCATAAGACTCTAATTAGAAAACGCTATACTGAAGCCTTTTATTGATAAAAACAGTGGCAAATGGAACCGATGAAATGACAATCAATTCATAGCAGATTCTAGAATCCCACCCAGGTGGCATTCTAGAATGCGCATATATTGCAAATAATTTGGCAACAGTCAAAACAGACCACAGACCAAAGCTTATTTCTTTCTGGAACTTTTTCAAGGAAATAAGTGTTTAAGATTTACTCATCGTAATTTTGAATATAGATATTTTGAGTTTTTATGTATTTTGCTCTCGCGAAAGGAGACTGATTATTGAATGAGAAATATCAATCGTCTGGAAATCTTTCGTTTTGTTTGTTTGCTTAATGCTTTTATACTCATTCTAGTTTTATTATAGATTGATAGACCAGGTTGTAAACGATTAGAAGCATATTTAAGTGATATAAATTTGTCATTATGAGTTTAATAGAACGAAAAAATAGAAACTGTTTAGTAATCTAGCCCAGGGTGTCCTATGTAAAAAAATTTAGGTGAATTTTAAAGAATTCATTATCGATTGTGGTTATGCGCTGTCGGAGAAGTAGTTTATTCAATCAATAGTTTAAAAAATTCAAGAAAAATGGTTTTTTAATATTCGTCAAGGAAGTCATGTGGTATACACATCAGATTTCTTTTATAAATTAAAGTCATAAAAATGTGTTATATGAAATTAATCTTCGTCTAAATTAAAATAATATTCTGAGATACTTACTGTTATGCTTCCATTCAGTTATGTTCAACATTTTATTTATCAATTAATAAAAAATGTATTATATGAAATTAACCTTTCATATAAATTAAAACAACAATCTTTATTATGCTTCCTTTGTTGCGTTAAGCATTATTATTTTTGGCAGCACTGCCGTCAACAATAGTTTGGCGATTTTTTATGATCCCTATATAATGGAATTGCACCCATTTTTAGCATTTGCAAATGATGTTATATGTCAATAGATACTGGAAAGTGATTTGCTTTGAACTTTTATGTAGTTATTTACCAACAACAAGAACAACAACAAAAAACCGCCTTCTCTGTTTAGTAAACTTCTTCTATTTTATTTTATTTTTCACGCAACAACAGCAGAACGAAGTCTCCTAAAGAGAAGTGTGGATAGTAAAGAAGATGCTTTACCGTCTACAAACCAGTACCCGCCAAATAATCCATACAGAATTTTAAACGGGGTACGAAAGTGTTGTCATGATGAAGAAATCTACCTTTTTTCAAGGATAGTTGTTTCTGAAAACTCGATCAACTTTGACCAGGCATTAATTGGTATATTACATCATTTTGTTGCGTTATATTGTTGCGTGAGAGCATGTCTATCATTTTCACCCTCTGAACCAGAAAAACTGGAGCGGTTTTTGTTTTCTTCTTCTTCTTCTTTTTTTTTTTTTTTTTTTTTTTTTGTTGTTGTTATCTTTGTTTCTGTACGTTTCTTTTAGGCAGGATGAAAACTCATACTTTGAGCTTCTAATGCTGCTTCAAAATCAGCATCACTTCTATCACTGTAACTTTCATCTTCTTCTGAGCTGTGCCTCTTTCGTTTTCTAAAACACCTAATCTTGATTTTCAACATAGGAACATATTTCCGGACTTTTGATTTTTTGGGCTTGGGGTATGTCTTCTCGAAATCTTTTTTAGGTTTTGGCTTAAAGATAACCACCCTGTCCTCCTCATCCAAAATAGCTTACTTGTTTGGATTATTCTCTAGGAACTCACAACATTTTGCAGATATGAAAGTGACCATTTTTGACATAGCAATTTTAGGATTAGGGAGGTGTTTCTTCTTCTTCTGTATCTTCATCATCATCTCCATCATCATCACGAGCAGGAGGTTCACTGTTATCTAGAGCACCTTTGGGATTGTTCTCTTCAACATTCTGCTTTTAAATATTTATCAATTACTTCGTGATATATGTCTTAGAATTGTCGATTTCTGTGAAATCTACGAGTTTAACTCTTTATTTAATTTTATCAATCACAAAATTATCTCCAGATTCGTTTCAATTATGATTCCATGGAAGTCGAAAAATATAATGATTAATTTCAAAAGGTCAAGAAATTTGAAAATTTCAAATTTCACAAACCTTTTGAAATTATCGAAAACTGAATTATCTTCTAATTCGAGTTCTTTTTCAGAATCATAATTTATCCCCATGGATTCGAGCTCCAGAGATTCTTCAGCAAACTAGACATTGATTCGTTCTGCGTATCATTATAAATCACGACCTTCATAGTGTTCACACTAGATGAAGAAATACCGAAAGCCCTTTCTGTTCCACTAATGGTCCAACCTAATTTTGTTTCGACCGCTACTAGGGAAGCAGGCAGTCTATGAACCTTGCTCGTAAATATTTTCCAACAAAAATCCGCTCCTATCAGCAAAGAAATTTTCGTCGTTTTACCTCCTCGTCCCCATTCATCGGAAAGTTGCGTTTCTTGAATTTTTAAGAGGTTAATGATTTCACTTCCAGAGGAACGAATATGTAATCCGTTAAAGACAGGCGTAATTAAAGCTTCTATTTTGATTTCAGATAGATACTTAGAACTAGGAAAAATTAAACTGGTTCTTTTCACTTTCTGTGCTTCAGACGTTTTGCACCCGAAAGAGGATATTTTAATTTTTTCCGCTCCAATAACCGATTGTTTTAACTTCTTACAGATGTCCTCCGTAATAAATGTTCGCCCCAAACCTAAATCTAACAGATTGCGAACGGTCTGCCAGAGCCGATTATCTGTGCTTATAATTTGAGCTCTAAGTGTCTGAAGAAGCACTGAGTTGTTGCGTAATCGAAAACAGAAAAGACAGCTGCTCCTTGAATGGGCTTCTTGGCTGACGCATTCATTTCATCGTCGTGTATCAATGCATGATGCCGTTGATTACAAATGCGACAGCTTAGCTTCGATTTTAATCCCTAGCTAAATGATACCTTTTAAGACACACGAAGAAATTCCCTGTGCACTTTAACGCTTCCCTTTTCTGGTACATTTTTTTTTGTAATGATTCTGAAGTATGATTTTTCAGAACAGAAACAGCTATTGGAAAGAGATATGTTTAACGCTGCAGCTGAAGGAATTCTAAAATCCTTATAATAATTCCTATTTCTTTCGTTGTTTCGAAAGTATTCTCGAAATTGCCGCTTGTTTTCAAAGTGTGATTTTCTTTCAATAATTTCAGAATCGGTTTGCTTAATTAAAAATCTTGTGCGCTCCCTACTTTCTATTCCTTTTCTTAGAAAATTTAGCAAATTAGTAATTTTTGTCCAGTTATCACATTCACATTTCCTATTGAATTCTAGGGCCAAATCATTCGGAATCATCTTTTTTAATATCGGATGCAATAAGGTACTGTTCGAATCTGTCAAAATAACGATTCTAATCCTCTAATTTGTATTTCACAAGTCATATAATTTTCGAAGTGTTGTCACATCGCAAGACCCTTAAACTGGAGTCAGAGTGAACAAATTCTTCATGTGGGAATCTATTATTAGTTCCTTACGACTGAAGCGATCTTTTAATATTTTCAAAGCCTTCTCGTAATTTT